CCACTAGTATTATTACTACCATTACTACTACAAATTATATTAATAATAACAACAACAATAATAAATAATTAACGTAATAATCTTAAAAGGACTCAAAATCAAAAGAGTTTGCAACGTCTGCTACGAAGTACTGCAGGAAAATTTGACCCTGGTTCAGAAGATGTTCGGATGACTTCCTGGACATCTCCGCACCGCATATGACCTTTTCAATATTGTATGACCTCGACCTTTTTAATATTGTATGACCTCGACCTTTTTAATATTGTATGACCTCGACCTTTTCTATGACCTCTGTGACCTATTATATATTCTACTCTTCAATTTCTTCTTGTCTTAATAATAATCATTCGTCGTAATCTTTAGTTCATCCATAATCTAATCATAATCTTTGCGTTAATTGTCTTACTCGCGATACTACATTCACTGCTATTACTCAATGACATGCACTTCTACTCTGCTACTACTACTTCAACAAGTAGTAGTAAGTACACTTTTGCTGCTGCCGCTTCTGCTACTACTGCCACTAATACTACTACTCATAAAACTACAAATAATACTGTTACTTCTGCTACTTCTATTAATACTATTTCTATTACTGTTACTGATCATGCTGGTTCAATTCGTACCACTATTGCCTTTTTTTATAATGGAATTTTTTTTAACCATTAGAAGTTTTCTTAATCAAAATAACTATCTTACTTATAAATATGGCTTAACTGTAATTACGTCATCCAATCGTTTATTTGTTCGTTCGTTCGTTCATTCATTAGTTAATTATATTGTAGAATGCTGCCGAATTGATATTCATTGAATAAAATCTATGTACTTTATTAGCTGAGTATATATATATATATATATATACACACATAAAAAATGAGTTTCATGCATCTAAACTGTGTGTGTGTGTTGTACGAGTAATATGCGATTTATTAATTTTTTTCCTAATTGTTCTCCCAAAACATCATTTCCAGTTTTTTTTTCATGGTTTTGATTGGTTAAATTTTTAAAAATCATCATTTCTTCATATAAATTTATTTGCAGTTAAATTGTTTTGTCTCGTATTTGTTCTTTCCTTCAAATTTGATTGTTCGTCCATTCCTTTGATCGTCAATTTAGTTAATTGTTCGTTTATTCATTTATTCGTTTATTCAGTTATTTATTTGAAGAGAATGATAACCATTAATCAGTTTTTCGTTTGACAATCTTTTCAGTATTTTTTAATTTAATATAGAAAATTTAACTGCAGAGTTCTTTGCTGACTGATGCTTAAATTCCACATATATGTATGTATATAATATACATACATATATATACATACATACTTATATACACATATATACATATACACACACACACATACAAACATACACATACATACACACGGGCACAAACATGATTATTATAATGTTGAACCAACACAAAATATATGAAAACAATCTATTGTAATGTGACTTTTCTTTCCGATCGTGATTCTATAAATAACTTTTCATTCTATTTAAAGTTTTTTGATTTTATATTGAAAATGGCTGTCTCATTCACTCCAGACATACGTTCATATTTTATATATATACATCAATAATTTAATAATTTTTTCCATCCTTTATCGGTTTTTTTAATTTAATTATAAATTTTAATATATTCAAGTGCAATTTAAGTTCTCATAGAGATAATGTGTTTCCCATTATCAATTTTTTTACTTCCTTTCTCTCACTCATTTTTTTTATCATTCACTCATTCACCGCGGTGACAACCGGCTCATTTATTCGTTATTTACAGACACACACACACACCCATATATATATCAAATTTTATTTTTTTTAAGAAGTTTTTTTAATAAACAAATAAAGTCTAAAGCATTTCGATGTTGTTCATTCGTAAAGTAAAGGGCCATATATATATATATAAGCCGATATATATATATATATATATATATATATATATATTACAATATTCTATAAATTCTACCGAATGTTTGGCGTTAATGTGTTTGTAGTTCGTTTTTTCAATTTTTCTCACTAAAGTTTACAGGAATTTGTTTGAATGGACAAAGTGAATGCACTGAACAATTTAAAGACAGCACAATAAAATCATTTGTGAACCGGGTATTCACACACTCTTCCGATATTGAAAATCGCGACGCTGAATTAAAGAGAGTCACTAACCTGCTTGTAAACAATGGATATAAGACTTACTCTATTGAAAAGATTGTTAAAGGCAAATTACTACACAGCAATAACCTTCCTAGTACCAACAATCAAGATAACGACATCATCTTGTATTACAGAAATCACATGTCAACTGCATACAAGGTTGATGAAGCTATTCTTAAACATATCATCAATAAAAATGTCACACCAACCAACCCAAATAGTAAAGTTAGACTCCGAATTTATTACAACAATAAAAAGACGTCTCACCTAATACTGAAAAACAACTGCAGTCCTAGAGATAACTCTAAGTTAAAGCGTAATCACGTAATATAAGAATTTAATTGCCCCTTTGACGGCTGTGCACGTCAACATGACTCATATATCGGGATTACTACTACCTCACTGACTAGAAGGCTTACGATGCATAAACAGAGTGGTGCTATCAAATCTCATTTGGACTCAACACAATCACAATTAGCCGTGAAATACTCGACAGCAACACCAAAGTAATATACCAGAACAGCAACTACACGCATCTTAAAATTGCAGAAGCAGTCCTAATTGACATCAATAAACCAAAAATAAATATACAACAAAAAATGACAACCTCACTTCCAACCCGGCGCTTAACCAACAACGAAAACAAAGATGTAATAAAAACTAGCATCGTAAATAGTGACAAAGAAGAATATGATGCTATCGATGAAGAAAAGGAGACCAAAGAAGATGACCAGCCAATAAAGAAACCTGACACCTAATTCGCATCAAAGTTCAATTTTACAACACCAAAGTTAATTTTTACAACATCAAAGTTCATCTTGACAAAGTCAATATTTCCCTATATATACAGCAAGGAGCACTGATGACGATTCATTCGGAATCGAAATATGGCATTATTTGCAGCATGATATATATATATATATATATATAATATATATATATATATATATAAGTTTACATGTGTCCTCAACTTTAGATTTTTATGCAGAAAAAATTGAACTGTTAATAAATTTATTCTCATCACTTTAACATACATGCTCAATGATTTTGTTACAGTCACACATATAACTAACTCGTTTTATTTAATACGAAGGAATGTTTTTTAGTAAAAATAATATGGAGAAATAAAATGAACACCACAGCATATATATATATATATATATATATATGCGTATATATATATATATATGTGCGTGTGTAGATATATATATATATATATATATATATATATATATATATATATATATAATCACGGGTTATTATGACAACAAGAGTAACTAAAATCACACTATAAAGCACGACAAAAAACTCGTTATTCACATACCTTTTATATTACGATATGTATTTATTTGTGTATGTGTACGTGTTTGTTTGTGTGTTTATATCTAAGTATGTGTTTATGTATTATCGTCTGCATACAAAGTCATTTAATGGAGCAATCAATCAATCTTTCAACTAACCAATCAATCTTTCAACAAATCAGCAGCGAATTAAATTTTAACATTGAGCTGTTTTAGAAGAAAAACAACTGCCTGCAGGCCATCTTCAAATATATGAAACTGCTGCTGCTGCTGCAACCAATCAGGTAAGACTTTTGCCGCCACAGCTCTTTTGGAAGATGGCGTCGATGGAGTAGGCTTGGTGAGTTGTTTGGCCTTCTGCTGCCTCTTCTCTATCTGATGCTTTCTCAGGATAGAGGCGTGGATGGATTGCAGTTTGTCTACAACCTTCGCTCTCCTGACAATCATCTGAAAAAGAATGAAACAACAGACAACTAGCGAATAAATAAAAGACGAACCAACAAGCAAATCAATTAGTTGAAAGAGAATTATAGGACTTACATTTCTATACTGTTCATTCCTTGAGGCCATGCTGGCCAACAGCAAACATGCGCTAATGAATATGTCCTTATTTTTGTTCTGGTAGGTCTGCATGAGCTCAACTGTCGTCTCGATCAGCTGTTCATTCTCGGACAGATGCTTCGATGTCGTCGAGTGCTGGTATTGTATTAAGTTGTGCTGTTTTCAATATTCATTTGTATCACACAACTAAATGAAAGATGCCACGCTACTAGTGAAAAATACAGGGAGGATTGCGTTTGAGGTGATTTCACGGCAGAACATTATTATTGTACGATGTACATAGTTATTTGATAAAAATGTGAAATATGACCTATGCGATTTCTAAAAAATGCCAAAATAAAATCCCGAGAACTAAATAATTATGGCCAGTCAATTAATCATTCCATCAGTGAATGAATGACTGAATAAATGGATGAACCTTAGCGAAATTGAGGAGAATGTTGACGGAATTTTTAATGAGCTCGATATGAGGCACACTGCGATTGCAGCTTCTTATGATCTGTACCATGATCCACACTGTGTTGCACTCCACCATGCACTCACAAAACTCCATCGACTCTCTCGTTTTATCGTCTGACGAAGTAACGAAAATGTAAAGTTTATTATTATCGTATTCATTAAACTATGAAGTATAGAGAAATAATTTAGAAAGCAGACAAGTGAACTAACTGATGTACATGAGAGCAGCGAGGACGTGAGAGAGTTTCTTGCACTTGAGCAGGTGATTCAAGGCGGACTTGGTCCTACTGATGGGCGAGTTGCCCTTCTCCTCCTCCCCCTGACACTCGTACTCCTCCTCGCAGGCCGACTGCATGGCTGCTGCTGTATCCTGGTATATCAAGTCCTTCGAGTGATTGGCATCTTCAGGCACACAGGTGTTGCTGCTGATGTGAGTGCCGGCCGGATATTGTTCATCGATCATGGCATCATCTTCAAGTGAAAGTACGTCTTCAGCTTTATTAAACTCCAACTGATCATCATTCTCTGCCACCATACACTTGTTACGATGCTTCATAGCAATTTCCTTCTCAAGAGTCGAACGTGAACCCATCAATAAGAAGTAATCACTGAACTTTCTCTCTGACAGCTTTCTCTTCTGAAAATTTTTCATGAAAATTTTATTGACTGTAAACTTGTAATTATGCAATCTCTTCAGCTTCCTTTTACGTTGGAGCTGAGCATGTCTCGAACAATTATTATTACTATTGCTGTTATCAACATCTCTATCACTATCCAGATTTAAATAACTTCTATTTAATCTTCTTCTATAGTTAAATGGCAAAAAATTAACGAAATCACACATCATTACGTCGCCAATTTTTGTATTGTTATCATTATTATCATTGCAGTCTTCCTTGCACTTAAGAGCACGCATTGCCGTGTGATTAATCAGGCCCAGGTATCGACGTTTGGCGGTCAAATAAGCGGCTGTGGCGTGTATCTTCAATCTTGCGTCCTTCTTGCTGACCGTTCTACTGATCATCCTGTATTTCCACCACTCCTGCATCGAGTTGTAAAACTTATTCAAGTTCAACTTTAAAATCTTTAAATCCAGTACGGATTTCTCTCCTTTATTTTCCGATTCGAGAAAAGTTTTACCGAAGAATTTGAACTGTCTGGGAGCCTCTGATGTCTTGATGCAGTTTGAGATTTGCGAGATAATGTGGAGGTGGGAGTGAGAGGAGGAAGAGGAAAGCTCTGGAGTGGAGTTGTAAGAACTGAATGATAAGTTGTTCAAGGAATGAAATGTTAGTGGGACTAAAGTTAAAGATTTATCATTGCTTATTTCTTGTTCTTTACACGCAGTAACAAACTTATATGAGTTTATCTGGAGGGGAGAAGATGGTTCAACTTGAGCATTCAACTCCTCGTTAACATCTGCAACTTCAACATCCTTCCTAGCCAACTGTGCGCAAAACTCCAGCCTATTGAAAGGATGATTCCCATCTAGATTATCAATCCCATAATACGGATTGATATCCACGGTCGTTATAACTTCTTCATTAACGGGAACATCAACTACAGTTGCCTGAGCGATGCTGGTACTCATCTCAGTTTGCACCGTCGTCTCCAGTTTACATTCAGAACATGAAATGAAATCATTGGACAGCCTCTTGGAATCACGCTTAACAATCACCTCCAGAACTGTTGGTTCCGTGCCGTAACTCTTGTCATCACTGGCAACAGAGCTACTCAGTGCACTGGATAATGCTGTTACGTCTTCCATAACCTCCCTCCCACCAGCGTAGTGGTCATCCACGAATGAAGTGCTATCAACGAAGTTAGCTGCATTAGCGGCGGAAATCATGGATGGGCATTCACATGTAAAAGCATTCACACCTGTCGCCACAACATCCGATACTTTCCAATTTCCACCAGCGGCATTCACAATCGTTGCATCGGCTTCTTTTGTATCTGCTTTCTTATCACCCATCTCCATCTCTACAGCCAATGAATCAGAAAGCGGGTCGTTTTTGAAATCCTTTGATGTTTTAACGTCATCAAATCTCGCTTCAACTTGACTTTTTGTGACGGTTTCAAATGAATTATCCAAATCATCACCACTCAAACAATATTTCTCCTCACCTATCCCATAGATGACATGATGAATTGCAACGCCATATTCAACTTCGGTGTCGTCTTCATACACGTCAACATATTTCGTTACTGGGTAAACATTTTGACATTCAACGAGATCGTATCGCTCCTCAACATTCACACTGTTAACTTCAACTATGGATGACTCCTCAGATGATGTCACTTCAGTTAATTCGTAAACAGCTTCCTCGCCATCTCCCTTGTCACGAAGAGTGTCATCATCTCCAGAATTTTGCACCACATTATTACTCGATAAATCAGATACCTCATCTTCCACCATTTTATGTTCATCAGCAGCTTTGATAGATTGAACATTATCTGAGGTGTCCTGTGATGTCTCACGATTCACATCAGAAATTAGTGAGCTACTTTGCTTTTCACAGAATGAAGACTCAAGTGGAACCAATTTTTTATCGCCAGAGACTGGCGAATCTTTTGTAATTAAATTCTGTTCGCTTGCACTTGTTGCGAATTGATTGCTAGCGTGATTATCTTCAACAGATGGCCTTTGTATACCATCCGCCACAAAAAAATTTACGTTATCATCTTCGGATTGTAAGACGTTTGAGTTGGTCTTCACGATTCTGAGCGGATGGTCTTTCTTGCAACGTTTAAACATTAACGTGATCTTATCCTCGCTCTTACCATCGCCATTATCTGGGATTAATTTTTTGGCTTCGTCTCTCATCATCTGTCCTTTATTGAATCGCAACAAATGTATATTATTGAAAGTTTGTATCGATTTATCATCTGAAACATGTTCTTCAAAATTTATAGTTCTTTCAAACCCCATAGTTCCTTCTGCAATATTTGAGTCCAGAAATGAATCATTCACACTCTCCTCGGCAGTTTCGTAAAGAGAAACAACGTTATCGTCGTCCTTAGTCTCTTCAAAAAATGCCTCGTTCGTCACTGCATTCTGCTCATTGTGACTGTCTGTGTGGAGCGGAGATTTGTACAACCTGATTTTGGATGGAGTCAGAAGTTTAAAGTTGCCATCAAAAGTCATACCCATCCCTAAAAATCTTTCCACTTCGTTATCGTAATCCAGTTTTTTTGATATTACAGTGGTCTGCTTAATTCGATCCTCGACAGCTTTACGACCGACAGTCACGACTTCTGGGACGATGCATTTAGATTGAGACAACTGAACTTTGGTCGTTTCGGAGGGTGAGTAAATTTCGCTACTCCTCTCTGCATCTTTGTTGCTGGGCTTCGGCGGTTTTTTGATGACGAGGTTACTTGAGGCAGAAGATACCAACGTATCATTAGGGTTGCTCCACTGACTGGTGTTGGCATCACTGTTGATTGAAATGGGCTCCTTCATCATTGTGTCCAACTTGGTATCAGTTGTCGTAGTAGAAAGAACATCAGACCGGTTCGTTGTTGAAGACTGCTCTCCGAAATCAATTGATGTTACGGTTGAATGCGTGTCGTAGTTAGCCATTGCATCCCTCATATTCTGCGATTCATTTTGAATTTGCATGCAACGATATGCGGTCAAATCACGATTTTTCATTTCATTTACTTCCTCACAACTCTGCTGCATATTGCCGCTGACGTTACATTCACTCATGCAATTCAACTGATCGCCAAATAATTTTGGAACGTTTCTGTCGCATGATCTGCTGGCTTGTTTCATAACTGGCGATGTCACTCTCCATATATTAATCAACTTAATTGGTTCATCATCCTGATCTTGGAATGATGAGGACGACTTGTGCTCCTTATCTTTACCAAATATCTTTCTACTACAATTTTTACGTTGCGAACTTTGAGACAAACTGTTTGACTCGACTGCCTTCGAACCATGGCTAACGTCAAGACTTCTTATCATAACAGGTTCACTTATAAAGAAATTCTTTGACGAGAGACTGCTAAGCTTCGTAGCGATTGTAGAGACATCTGCATCATTCTTCGAAAGGTGGTCGCTATTGACATCATCTGTGCCGATCATTTTGTCGAAACAGACTTTCTTGGATGACGAGGATGACTGCTGATCGAGAAAGGAAGTCGTACTTTCAAACATCATCTCCTCCTCTTTACCCGATCTCAAACTGGCATTATTCATATCAGGTTCATTGGGTGACTCTTCATCCTTATGTTGGCAGTGTTTAGTATGGTGTTTCACGTGCCTCACTTTAGCGTAATTATTTTGGCAGCAGTGTTTAGCATCGTGCCTTACGTTAACAATCTCAGGTAGAAAATATTTCTGATTGAAAACCGAGCACATACTCTCGAACAAAGTTGGATTACTGTTGGATGCAGCCTCAATATTAGTGTTAGGAGTACTACAAGGCTTGTCTTCAATACTTTTAATAGCAACGTCCACTTTTTCCGACATCTGTTGGTTAAACACTGAACATGTACTTTCAAAAACTGTTAAATCTTTTTCAGATTTCGAACTAATATCAACAAAGTCAGGACTGACATTCACGCAGGTATTGATGTCAATTACATTTTTATACTTTTCATCCTCTCGCTTTTGATGTTGTCGGTAATAGTGCTTGGAAACAACAAGGTTTGAATAACTGGGAGACATAACACTGCTGGAGAAGGAATCGTGTTTTGCTGAACTTTCTTTCGTTCCTTCAATTTTACAATCATTACTTTCGGGCTTAACATAATCCATAGCTGATAATTCAAGCGCGGTGACAGAAGCATAATTTGAAGTCAAACTTCTCTTCCGATTACGAGCCAGCACCTTCCCGTAGTACCTCCTCCATGCACACTGAATGATGCGAGCGGCCCTGGTCTCTGTCCTCGTTTCTAACAGACGACAGCAAAGGAAAGATACGTAAATTATCACTAATTTCTCATCAGGTAAGGTGTTGAAGAAGTCAGAAGATTTCAACATTACTGGTAGACCACCTATCTCGAGAGCCTTCTCTTGGAATAGTCTACAATTTTCTTTCTCATTTTCCAGTGCCTGCTGTAACTCTTCTGTATTCTTCTCGAACAATTTCAAATTAGAGTCAAATTTGTTGGCCCAGTCAGCAGCTGACGACTCAGAGTCCATTGAACTATTGATGTTCATGCAATTGATAGAGCCCTTCATAGCCAGAGTGGTTCTCGCCCTGATCAGTGAGAGAGGCAGGATGTGCGGGAAATAGTGATGAATTAGGTAGCAGAATGCACGACCGTCAGAAAATGAGGTGGTGAAATTTTCTACCTTCATGCCATAGAGCAGGCATATAACTTGGCACCATTTAAATAGCAAAGACAGAGTAGGTTCATTTCTATACAAGTCTGGTTCCAATGAATCTCTGTCATTTCTTACGCACTCGAGCACTGAGAAACATTTAGATTGAACTTTTGCTTTGAGTAGCTTGGGCAGTTCGTACGATATCTTGTTCACTTCATTCTTCAGCACGGCTTGATTTATCGAAACGTTTATGTGTAATGAAAAAATGATTCTCCACAACAACTGCAATGTCTTCTGCCTGTGCCCATTTACTATATCCTTTGCAGTTATCACGTTTTGACTACGCCCAATGGACAGGTCCACTCGTTTGTTGACCAGTTCTGTTAGTACGACATCGACGTTGTGCAGCTTCTGCTGTCGAGTTATTACAGGCACCCATAGATCTTTGCTCAGGCTCCAATTTTGTGTCAGTACCTCTACTAAACGAGCCAACCTGAGACCATCTCGAAGGTCAGTAGCCAGATTAATGACGTGGTAGTCGAACTCGTCCAAGTGTGATTGTTCACTCGTTACCACGTAGCCGATGTAATACAGGTGTCTTGTTACATCACCTTCTCCTCTCAGGCAGAGGCGAGAGAATGCCAATAAGATGTCTCTACTGGTCTGAAAAGTTAAGGAAAATTATTTTTAAACGAATCCTTTGTTGCAGTGACAAATTTTTATTTAAATTCTATTACTATTGTTTGAACTTTTTTGAGAATACCTTGAAAGGAGCATTGAATCTGAATAAGCATGGGTTGTAGGCAATTAATTTCTGGGATTTGGCCACATCAAGAAAGTACACGAGTATTAGAAACTTCTTCAGAAGGAACTTAAATATCTCAACTTGGTAGTCTACATTTTCGTGTTAGAACAAAAAGATCGTAAATAATTTTGGAATAAATAAAAAATAACAAAATCAAATTAAATTTGAGAAGCAAGAAAGGAAGGAGCAATATAAAGAGAAAAAAGTGTAACATGAAATGCAAACCATTGCTATAAAGATTCCTAAAGCCAGGCAGAGCAAACTTGTTTGCAATGTTGCAGTTGATGAAGAAACGATTGAGTAGGAACTTGGTGATGACGGATTCGCAGGAACTGGAGGAAGAGGAAACTGGAAGAATCTCTCCGTAGATGGTCTCAAGTCCTAGTTTCAACCATAGCAAGTTGTATGAGAAGATCATCTGGAGAATTTCTTTTTTCAGTCCTGAGCGGTGGCGTGCGTGCATGTTTGCATATTAAACCACATCTTCATTTTCATCATTCTGTCTGTACTAGCAGCGCAACGAATTTATCAGCCAAATAAAATAGGCAGCTTCAGAAGTAAACGATGATCACACCAGAATGTGGAAAAAGAAATGAATAACAAATACATCCACAAATGAAATGTTGATTCCTAACGAACCAAAATCAATATGGACCAGTCGATCGGATCTGATGGCCAGGCGTCCATTCTCCACCTCTCGCTCGACTCTTTCGATGACCTTCACGACGGCTTCTGATTGGTAGAGGCGGCAGGCTCCGAACCTCAGCTTGTTGAACTTGCGCTCCGTTGAGTAGATCTTGTTGGAGAGGCTTTCTTTTGATGTAGCCGCCGAGTTTGATGACTTGGTCGTTGTTTGTCCTTGACCTTTCATTATTTTAATGATGATAATGCATATAATAATGTGGATATTGATAATTGGGGTGAAGATGATATCTGGAGAATGATGGCATAGAGAAAAATCATGCTTTAAAAATGATCATGAGCTGGACTGAAACGACAAACATAAGGATATGTGCAAATAAAATGATCATAGTGAAAATAGCAACAGGCAACGAAATGTATAGTAACTTAAGAGTCTGTCAACCAAAATTGAAATGTAGCAAAATCATATGAAAGTAGGCAACCTTTTGACAATCTGTTAGGAGACCTCGTAGAAGCAGTAGAATTTGCAAGAAAGTGTTTCACGGACGCAGGCACATTATTCCCTCCACAAGTTGCGACTGATGACGATGATAACATCATCTTGTCAAACGATACACTACCAAAATCTGCTGCTGATGGATGAATGAAATTGTATATAATAGTGGAGAGTGGAATAAGAACGATAGTAACCCAGAGAGTAACAAAAAGTTGCTATAAAACTGTGTGAAGATAAAGCAAATTGAGAAACAAATTAACAGGTAGATAGTTTAAACGTGGTAACGAAGGCAAAATGCCAAAAGAAACCTTTGAAATCAAATTCGAATGGAGCCAATATGTAATTCATCCAGACCGTGAACCCTCTTTCTTGTTTCTCCATCCACCTCTCGTCGTAGTACATGTTCTTTGAAGCGTTGGGCATCAACACTTTGGGCGTAGCTTTGTAGGAAGAAAAAGATAGAATAAAAATTGTCAGAGAAAAATTTGCATATTCATGTAGAATATATATATATATATATATATATATATATATATATATATATATATATATATATATATGAGCTCACGTTGTGCTTCTTTGTTTGACGGCTTCTTCAGTTTCAATGTTGTCATAGCTGTCAATTTGAAATAAAATTATTATTGTATAGTTATGAAAACTAAGAATGCCAATGAAAGAGGAAGTAATCAAAAAGAGACCTTTGTTAGCCATCAATTTTCGCTTATCAGGACTGCCATTTGTTTTCATTGTAGCTTCTTCAATCTGATTCTGATTCAACGAAAGTTTCTTCCTACTCTTGAGATGAGCAGGCGAATGATACACCACTGAACCACACCCTTCCATCTTGCTCCCACGGTCGGATGTAACGTCACTGAACCTCTGACACTTTTTTGATGACGAAGACTTGCAAGACTCGACCACTAATAGACGGTTATTTTTCGTAGGCCCATTCTTATTCTTAGTAACAGTAGCCGAGTTGACTTTGGATACGCGTTCTGCTGTACTAGTTGATGTTGAGCAACTCTCTGGAGATACGAACTTATCATTATTCTTCAGTTGTTTTGTTTGTGACCTCGATAATTTTTGATCCAATCCATTTTGCTTCTGGCTGGTTGAATTACTCATTGACTCCAACTGACTGACGTTGTTCATTGTACTACCAGCACTTACTGATGCATCTTTGGAAATTTCTTCCTCCGTCAATCTCTTCAACTTGGCTCTCAACTTAGAACCGTGAAATGAATACGTCATGTCACTGCATGTGATGCTGTCCATACGAGGTGTAGTTACCTTATTTTCATCACATATCACTGGAGTCTCATTCTTTTTCGTGAAGTTATCAATAGCTGTATCAAAATTATAAACAGAGCTATCAACAACAGTATCATTTGTCTTCCTATTATATACTGCAGCTCTCTGAGGATTGTTTGGACTCAATGCCAGTCTTAAATATCTATCCAAAACGTTTAAATCGACTCCTGTAGAATGCAAACTCTCACCAAATTGTTGGCAGTATTTGTTGTTGATGTAACTTTGCAGTTGCTGCTCTTTCTGCTGCAGGTTTAATAATTGTTGGATGTGTCTGGAGATGTTAGCACCAACAGCGAGATCAATTTGGCCCTCGAGTTTCTCTGACATTTCAAGTTCCTCATCGACAACCACGCTACAGGTATTACATTTCTTTGCATCAAATCCAAATTCGTGCGTCGTTAATGGGTCGTTGACGGCAGTGAGGGTAGAGTTTGTAGTAGTGCTGGTTAGTAGGATCCCGTCATTGTTCAGCTGCTCATTATTTATCTGCATCACTGTGAGGCATGGTTTTTGGCGGCTCCTTACCGAGGTTAAAACGTTTCCAATGAACTGATTGCCACGTGCCACTGCTGTTGTTAATGTTAACGGTTGTGAATCACCACTAAAGCCTGCATACTTTTCAAGTTGGCTTCTGCCACCCTCTACAAAGCTTTCACAGATATGTTGGCTGCCCAACATTTTCGAAGTATCGTTATTCGTTTCATTTCTATCATCATGACTTTTACCTCGATTATCATCCACATCATTTCCTCGTTTTTTCAAACTTTCAAATGAGTTACCTAGTTCACCGATGTTACTTATGTTAAAATTAGAATACAACTTGTTCTGCGGTCTCAGTGGTGATAACTTCATCAGCGCTGCATCATACTTATTTCTCGTCATTCCATTTGATCTTTTAGGGGATGCACTGTACATTTCCAAAGCAGCAGACCCAGTAAGAAACTTTGTCGGAGATCTCATCTTGCCATCACTTCTTGATCTCCGTTTGTTCTTTTTCATTGAGAGATTGTTATAGATGGGAACAACATCACTGACGACATTGGATTCCAACAAGTTTACATTCTTATTCTCCTTACTCTCGTCTCTACCATTTAAGATTCTGTAGAGTTTACTGCCAACAGTAGCAGACTGGTTGTTCTTAGATGTCATACCACATTTCGGTGTAGTAAGGTATGGATAATTTTTGTCTTTCTTTGCTGTGGGTAATGAATCTTTGTAGATATTACGGTTTATCGGCTGATAATTAGGATACATTTTTCCTGCTTCCTTTACAATATTCGTAGAAATATCCTCTAGAAATGAATTTTCATCAACTATAGTCTTCTTAAATTTATCACGAATTTGATTTATTGTTCTTTTCCAGCCTACATTGTCTTCATTATCTTCTATAGTTTTATGAGTAAATTGATAGGCATCGAATTGATTAACTAAGCTGTCATCATCGTAATTTTCACCATCAACACTATTTATCTGCTGTTCACTGCACTCATCATCATCATTATTCTCCTCATCGTCATAGTTATAAACTTCTCCCTCGTTCAATTTCGTGTAAGTACCGTATCGTACGTTAGTTAGGTTAGTAGTGACCTTTGGGTTACTGACTAATTTAAAATTTCCATAGCGAATTGGTGGGCTCGTGGCAGGCTTTACCCTCTCTGAACTCCCTTCATTTCCTCTTCTTCTTCCTCCTCCAATCATAGGAGATATGGATTTGGCAGTAGTAACAGGAGAGTAGCTAGAAGGACTCTTAACATCATTGCAATCTGACGTCTCATGGGTAACAGCTCTACTTCTGTCAATGTTGATGTTGTTGTCTGTCTTCAACGCCACACACCTTTCCACGTTATCTGATTGCACTAACGTTAAAAATTATCCTCATGATATCAATTGTAAAGAGATCTATTTCGATAAGGATACACACACACACACACACACACACACCACACACAATGCATATGTGTATTGTATAGATGTGCACTAACAAGCAAACATACAGACAAATATACACGCGCGCGCGCACATACATACAATAGCTAACTTTTACTATCTATAGATGGAGTTGACTTGTTAGCAATATCCCAATATGATATCTCAAGCCTTTTTACTAAAAGTAAATTATCGAAATTTTTTTTACTTCTCTCAATGAATTTCGAAAATATGGTTACTAATGAATAATAATACAAATAATAATGATAATACAAAATAAACTAACAACCTAAACTCTTTCCAACATTTTCAGCTGTACTTTTAGATGTAGGAATCTCATTATTACAACAGCCATCAATACTACATTCATTTGTGCTACAACCATCTCCTTTCCTAAAGTAGCCCATAGTGTACTGAGATCTAGATTGAAACTTTTTATCAAACTTGGAGACTAAATTGTCATTGTTACCTTCGTTTTTTAGGCAGAAGAGTTCCTCTTTGAATTTATCAATTCGAGATTTACGAGCTGATTGTGAATCTATATTTTCCAGGTTTTTGTTCTCCTTATCATCTGACAGATTATGGAAAATGTTGCCACACGAAGAAGATTCTATTGTTTTTTTCATTAACTTGTTTCTCATGTTTGGGAATTTAGACTAGGATGATTTAAATTTTTTCACGTTACAAAAATATAATTTGTGATTCATTCTAAAATTAGTAATGAAACATATGATTAATAATATAAATTTTAAAGTTTTTTCACAATAATTTCAAATTTTGAAATGAAATAAAATTTTTTCTGAAAAACAAAAATGTGAGAACCTTTTTTGATGATTTAACACTACCCTGAATAGCCACACCTAACAACACAAATTGAAGCCTTATTGATTCATTGACTTGCAGAATCACCAATTCTCTAACTCCCTCATTTGTTAAAGGAGTCCAAAGAATTATAAGTTCAAATTTTTCAAACTCTTTTATGCTGAAGCACAATGGTTCTACTTGAAAATTTTTCTTTCTAGGCACTTTTTCCACAACAACCTGTATGTATTTTATTATCAAACAGAATCACTCTTAGCAAATACATAAAAAAAACTTTGATAGCATTTTAAATTTAATCTATGATTAACAATTTATATTTTTTTACCAGGAAGAGATAACACAGTAGAAAAATTAATCAAAAAACCAGCAGTGCAAAAACAAACCTCAACTGGTGTATCAAAGGTGTTCTCAATGATAAGCTTCTTATAATGACAGGAGCCAACCAAAACTTGCCCAAAGTCGACGACAGGTGGCTTACCAAAGGCTGCCAGCTGCATTGTAGTAGTGACTTCATTGTTGAGAGTGGAAAAGTCGGCTTGAGAGTCACAAACGTCTTCATTCATTATGGTATAACTCAAAGAAGATTTGCAAGTTGTGCAATCATCATACCGCTGTTGTTCCATGATTTATTTATAGGTGAATGGTGTTACTGATGTGATGTTCTGTCAGTTGTAACACCCAAGAAATAAATCATTTAATAATAAACTGATGTTCTGTAAGTAAAAGTAAAGAAAGGAGAAAATTAAAATTAATTGGGTTTTATTTTTTAAAAATTGATCTCTTAAATGTTTGACAAACTCACAAATTACATGATTAAACAAAAATGCTTTTTATAATTAAATAAAAATAAATCTAAAACCAAAAATGCCATTTTAATTTAAAATTAAACATATTTAAATCTCAACAAAAATTCAAAGCATGCCATTGTGTATCATTATCCAATATGTTATTGGTGACTACAGGTTGATTACAGGTGTGTTTATTAAATATTGTGCAATAATTAACAATTGAGAATTAACATATACTTATCAAAAATTAGCAATTTATTTCATATTTCTTACCAAATTAAAATAAAATTTAAAAATTGCGGTAAAAAATTTCAAAAAAAAACTTTAAAATTTCAAATGTTTTAAATTTGCCAGTATTTTGGGAGTGTTCCTATTATTTATAGAATTGTCAGTCAAAAAATGCCTTTAACAATTCCCATTTAATAATTTTATTTCTCTTTATATTTAAATAAATTTAATATTATAATAATTTTACAAGCTTTAATAATTTTTAACAGCCTGTCGTTGATGAAAAACTACTCAGGTTTAATTAAATTATACATTAAATTAAAAACAAATTGCATTGAAATTTCTTTGCTGGCGATATTGAGTAACCATTCATTCTTCTACAAATTTCTCTCGATACCGCGTTTTAGATTTCGTTCCCGAATAATGTTCTTTACAAATGGACGAATGTCTTTTTGAGGTTGACGATTTGTTATTTTTTTAAGTTGTTGAATAAATTTTATTTTCCGTTGTTCTCTCCTCTGTGTGCCTGTGATTCATTATTATTTGTTAATTTTATAGAAAAAATTAGTTTATTTTTAATATATTTTTAAATTTTATATCATATTTCATTTTTAGGCCGATATCGAGAAAGAACTCGGCAATGTTGCTTACAGAAACAGATGCTTCTTAGATGCCTTGAAACATTATGAACGGGCCCATCACTTGAACCCTACCAACATCATCTACAAAAATAATCTTGGGGGTTTGTCTTTCTTTTATAGATTCTTTTGAAGATTTTCATTTAGATTTTCAATTATTGTTAGAAGATATTTCATATAAAATTTTATTTAAAATCTTCTCCTATTTCTAGCTGTTTATTATGAACTTGAGAATTTCACTCAATGCATAGCAGAGTGTGAGGAGGCCATTAAAATAGGACTGGCTCATAAGGCTGAACATAAACACCTTGCCAAGTATTTCATGATGAAGATGTTAACAAAGATGATACTGAAGATTCGATGATGATTTGGTGATAATAATGTAATATTGATTGCAGAGCCTACTGCAGAATTGGAAATGCATTCTTGAAGTTATCAAATGTACAGTCAGCCATGCAGTATTACAGGCAATCATTGGTTGAACAGTATGACTTGAATATCCATAATAAACTGCAGGAGGTGACATGTATTTATAATTACTTCCTTTGTTCTGATCAATAATTAGAATTTTTTATATGAAACTTTCAGCTTGAAACCAGATCAAAATACAACCCAGAGATGTCAGCCAAATTGAAAAATCTGGGAAATGATTATTTCAATAAAGGTATCTTTTTGTCATTTTCCTATGTTTATTCTTCAGCTTTCTTATTTTCTTCATCAGTGTTGTTTTGCAGATATAATATATTAATTCAATGTAAGAATTATTATACCTGTGAAATGAACCTTACAAAATCTTTCGCATGTCTACCTGCCGGCAGGAGACTTTCCATCAGCACTTTGCCATTTGTCAGAGGCCATAAAACAGTACCCTCATGACCCAACCCTCTACAGCTACAGGGCTGCTTGCTATGCTAAGTTGCTTGAGTTCAAAGCTGCTACTGCTGACTGCAACAGCTGCTTAGCTCTGGATCCAAAATGTGGTACAGTGCAGGACAATTTTTTCATTATTATTATTATTTTAAAAAATAATTTTCATTTCAAGTGTCAATTGCATGTTTATCATATGTTTTTGTTTAATATTTGTTTAGAAAAGGTAGTTAAATAGTAACAGGCGGTTTGTTTTGAACAATTTCTAGTGAGATTGAGACATTTCTAAAAACACACATTCACATAAATACAACATATACATGAACAGTTAAAGCCCTGATATGCAAAGGTTTGTGTCTGTTAGCCATGAGAGATTATCATAATGCTGAAGAATCTTTTATTGCTGCTCTTGAAATTCAACCTGATTCAACTGAGGCTCTTCATGGATTTAAGAGGTTGGGTTGTTGATTTGGTCGGCTTCTTTGTTGACCAGTTAGCTAGCTAGTTGGTTTTGTGATTGATTAACACTAATTATTTCAATAATTTTTTAAATAAAATCAAATAGTGAAATGGATGAAAACAATATAATTTTTTAAACAAAAAGGTGTCTGAGGCAGAGGCAGTTGGACCCAGAAACAATTCAAAGGCAGGCCATGTTAGATCCTGAAGTGAAGAATATTATGAGTGATCCAATTATAAGAAGGGTCCTGAGCAATATGACACTTGATCCTAAAGCTATAAATAGGTTGGGGCTCCAGAAAATGTTTGATGGACTGTTTTGAAAAGATGGATAATATTGTTAGACAAATATATAACGCTAGTTTTTGGTTGATTTATGGTAGCTATCTTGATTAGTTTATTTAAAATGTTTATTGGCTAAACACATTAAATTAGTTTGTATAATCTTTTCTTTAAATTAGTTTATGGTCCTAATGTTCGGGCTTTGTTACGGCAGTGGGCGTTTCAGCGTGGATGTATTCATATGTTCGAATTCTATATTTAAAATTTCGTTAACTAAACTTCAATATTTTCCTAATGCAAAACTTTTTATTGAACAGTCACCTCAAGAGTCCTGAGTTTGCAAAAAAGATAGAAAAACTCATGGAGGTCGGATTGATAGCTATCAGATGATGAGATGGTCATTCATGAATGTTTTTAAAGATGATGGAGATATATCAGTGATAACAACAGCGATAGGCTATGCACTCATTTATATACACAGAATACATGTATATATATATATATATATTTTTCACGTGTACATAAGACTTTCTTTTTACATTTTCATTTTTTTTATTTCTGTTTCAGATGAAACATTAGATCCTTTGTCTTTTTTTAAGGAATGTAAATATATGATTTTTGTAAATGTGTCCAAGAGTTCCTTTTTAAAAATTGTAAAAAAAAGTTGAATAATACGCTAACAATTCGAAGGCATTCACCGACTGAATTCTTCTCAATTCACTATCCCAAGAAAGCCCGGCTACATTAATCAAAGGCACGGAAAATTAAGCCATTTATTATATTACATTGAAGCATGGAAAAAATATAATTTAAATTATATATTATAAAAATTAAAGTTTTTCCATTGAATTATATATTGATTTAATACACTAGCAATTCTACTTTTATGTAATTAAAAATTGTTTAACTATTAGTATTAGAGTTAATAGTTATATAATTATATGGTTTTTTCTAAAGATAATATTTTTTATCAAAGTTAAAATATTACGATATATACACGAACATACACACATTTATGTATAAATAATATATATATATTATATGTCAATTATATGTCAAAATTGCAATCGTCATTTTTAAATTTAAATAAGGCGCACTTTGCCGCTCAAAAAAGCGCTTGCGAAAATTCTGCTAGAAGTCTAAAAATAGAAACTCTTCCTTGGACGCTTGGCGTCGGCGCATGCTCGTCAGCATGACTAAGCCGTGGGAGCCTGAACGCGTCACCTCGTTCCCAGTCCACTAAAGTTTAGCAGAAGTGCTTCTCTTTTCCTCGTTTGCTGCCAGACGCCATCGCTGTTCTCAAGAAGAATTTGGTATTTAATGCTTTTTTTAATTTAATTATGATGATAAACTTATTACAATTTGAACTTTCATGGTTTATTATAGTTTTTAAATGAAAATTAGACGATTTTGGATCATTCATTTTTAGCTTGCAGCTAAAAAGGTTTTAATATTCCCCATGAGCGTCGGTCGCCATTTTGTCAAACTAAACATTCGGTCTGACTTCTCGTATTGATATGTTTAGTCGATTAATAGAACATTAAGAGTTTGAGTTTGTGTTTTTTAGGCTATTTGTCGAAAACCATTCGAGATTCTCAGCGGCAGTTTACTTTTATTTGGCGACTTTCACTTTACCGAGCTGACGGCGCAATAATTAAAATTTAAAAATGAGTTTTCGTGCCTCGCTTCTTAAGATTCTGTTTTTTTAAAATATGAGTTGGCAAAATGGCAACCCACGTCGTACAATAACGTACAACCTGAGTTTTTTTTAACACCAACTCATGTTTTTTTCATTTTCAACTCATTTTCATGTTTGCTATAATGACGCTACAAATAAAAAATGGAAACCATGCAACGTCTGCTCAGCAGTCGAATTCATTATTTTAAGTTTCTTTCCGGCCTTTAGAAAAAATTTATACTTTTTTGAATTCTTACTCCAGTGAGTAAAAAGAAGATGAAAAATTTGTTTGCAAGTGAATCTTTTTCACTTCAATTATTTATTATTGTCTTCTACATACAATACAGTACACAGACATGCAATATCAGTCAAGTCTTGCCATTTTTCTAAAATACTATACTATTATAAATTCATTTGTAATCTGTGATTCAATAGTGTTTTTTATCAGATTATTTCTCAGTTGTGTTTAAGTTTTTAGAAGGTTTTAATTTTTTAAACATCAAAAAAACCAAAGACTGATTAAAATGTTTAATTATTTGTAAAAAAAAAGTAGTTTTCTAACATACATTCAGAAGAAAGTTATGATTAGAAAAAAGATGATTAAAAAGAAGATGAAAAGATAAAGATAAAAGAAACACACAAATGAAGATAGAGAGTAGAAAGATGAAAATAAAGATGAAAGTAAAAAGATAAGGTAAAATAGAAGATGAGAAACATAAAGTTAAAGATGAAGAAAGCAAAGATGAGGAAGTCACACGGATGGTGATAAAGAAGACAAAAATGAGGAAAATAGAAAGATGAAAATGGAGATAATGAAGGAAATAATAATGAAAGAGAAGAGCAAGGTGAAAATTGAGATAAAGGAAGAAGATAATAATGAAAGAGAAGAATAAATCATAAAAACTAAGGAAGATGTGAAAGAAGAAAAATTAAGAAGGAAAAGAATAATGGTTCTTTGGATGATATTTTTTCATAAGATCATTTTGTCAACAACCAGATAAGTAATTAGAGGATGCTGGGAATATTTTTGAGAAATCTATCACATTGAGGTGATGTATTGTGATATAATTGCTGTATCCATTGGCATCAACATCTTTTTTGTTTGTTGTGCTGATAGTTGTGGAGTATCAGGGGTTTCACTTGATCATGAGATCATCACAGGCAGATGCCTTTTCATGTCTGCTTGTTTCCTCCTTTCTTTTATAATATATTTTTAATGGGAGTGTTTTTATGAAGTGTAATTGTTAACAATATATTTATCAACTATGATTAGGTAAATGTGGAATACATAAGCCTATGATGAATAACAATGCAAGCACCTAATACAGATTATTGTTAGTTAGCTAATAAATTATGGATTAAAAAAATTAAAAAATGTCACTAAGATAACTATAATTAAATAAAACTGAATATCTAGACAAATAATAAAAAGAACATTAATAAAACTGTACATTGATGCCACACCTGTTTGCATGTTTATATGTATTTGCAATAATGGTTTCATGGCAGTTGTATATGTGTAAATAATTGAGATAAGACAATTTGTTGCATTTGAATTGCTAATTAATGATTTTAACTACATCTTCTTAACTCTGAAGTTAACTAATTTAAAAGTAAAATTAAATATATAATATAATTCAACCAGTAATTATTTTGAACTCATCTTTCTATCATTTTCATTTTTCAGCATCGGAACAGTTCAGTGTTGCTTCAATAGTTCATTTGAGTGAATTTCTATCACCTGAGATTGCAGCAAAAACTTAAATCTTCTTTGCTACAACTCTAAATTTCACTGTAAAATGTCTAATTTATCAATTGTTTTTTTTATAATAGTAATATTAACAATTATTACAGAACTTTTTTTCTGCAGCTACTGTTAGTACTACTAATACTACTACTACTTGATTTCATTTGTACCCATAGCTCAGTGCACAGGTTCAGATTGCCTAGGATGAGTTACCACAAATGAGTGCAATAGCAAGACCAGGCGCTTTTAACCATTGAGCCATCACGCTGCCCAGTGACAGTAGTAAAGGTGGTCAGCACATGCATTAAATTCTTCATTCTCTGTGGTTTTTGACGAATATAATATATTGATTTCAAAATATATTCAATTCAATTTTCCCTAACATGATGAAAATTGAAAATATGATGAAGAAAGCATATAGATAAAAAGAGGAAAAGGACACACAGATGAAGATAGAGCCGGTGATGTTGGGGTCTAGGGGCATGGTAAGTTTAGTGTCTTTTTATATGTTGATAGTTGTATTATATTGGCAAATTGTTTGTTTTACTGTAAACATGAATTGTATAATATAATTATTAATTTTTCAGAGAGTTTCGCGGCTATATAGATTTATATAGAGGTTTGCGGCTATATAGATTTATATAAAGTTTCATGGCTATATAGATTTATATTAGTTAGATTAGTTAAAAGTATTTGTTACTTTTGGCTTGTTATTTATCATTTCTAGAAAATTGTTACTTATTGTCAGATGTTTGCAAAAGTGTGCACTTAGCTGTGGTTTTATAACAGTTATTTCCCATATTAAATTAAACATTTTTTTGCAGCATTTTGTGCGCAAATTTTTAGGGAATTGTGTTTCAGGTGGTTCTTCACTGATAACAGAAGGCCACTCAGCAAAATGGCATGCCTGCTGGAGTTTTAAAGTCATGGTATGCTTCATTCTTTGTAACTTGGTTTTCATTCCATTTTTTCTGAGTAGCTCCGATCTCAATTCTCTGAGTCAACTGTATGTAGGTATCTGAGTTTCTATTTTTTCTTCATACTTTGATGTTTTGTGCATTTTTATTGTTGCAAGCGATCAAACCCAAAATATTTAACAACTTTGTTGTATGTGGTTGGTAGGATAATGACATAATGGAAATTATATATATATATATATATATATATATATATATATATCATATTAATATTTATGCGTTTGCATGTGTGTGGCGTACTAACATTAATAACCTAGGCTGAAGAAAATGAGGGACACAGAATGGACACACAGATGAAGATAAAGCCGTTGTTTGGGGGAGCCTGGGCCATGGTTAGTTGCGTGTATTTTTGTCTTGTTTTTTTATGTAGTAGCGAATTTTTTGTTCAGTATCGAATATATATATATATATATAGTATCGAATGTGTGTGTGTGTGTATGTGTGGCGAAGAATAGTTGATGTCATCAGATGTATATATATATATATATATATATATATATATATATTTATTATAATTTAATTTCTTATTCGATTAGTGATCTTTTAAAATATATATATATATATATAGTTTTGACCTGGCAAAATAATTTCTTGGAAGTTGTATTTGAATGGTAATTTTATGCTTGTTGAAGAATGCCCGTGTTGTATACTATAAATATTAATTGTTAATTATTAATATAATTCTAATAATTACTAAAGATTAGGGAGATGATGCAAAACAAGAGGAGGAAGAAGAAGAGGAGAATGATTGAAAAGATAAGTTTTTACAGATTGAATGTTAATATTAATTGTGATTAGTTTTGCTAATGCATTGATTGTGTTTATTTGCCTGCTGATTTATGAATGATTTTTGGTTGCAAAAATTATTCTGTTGTTTCAATTCTTCGTAGCATGTTTCTTTGTAGTTTTGGTATTACTAACATATTTTTTGATATGATTACATTCTTACGGTTCATTCACACATGGTACACAGCATGCATTACTCATCAACTGTGTTTTTGCTTTGTTTATATGATTTTTTATAATTTATTCTTTTATTCTTACTCCTAAGGAAAACTGAGCCATTAGGTGAGCTAATTAAATATATGTAAGATAAGCTTCAATCAATTGCTTATAGGTAGGTTAGTGTTTCAGTGCAATCAATTGATTATAAGTAGTTAAGGGTGAGATCTTGTTTCTCTTTCTTGTTACTTTGTTTTTGTTATCTTTTTGTGTTTGTGTTTCACGCATCACATCAATACACACAAAACATTCATTTTATGAGCCTTCCATTTATTTATTTATCCGGATTTTTGTTTATTTTCATTTAGTATTTTCCTTATTTGCTTTCTGATACTAACTATTATCGTTATTGGTATGTTCGTGCTTTTTTGGTTGTGTCTGTGTGTGTGTGTGTGTGTGTGCGTGTGTGCTTACGCCTGTATGGGTATGTCTATGGTACAGTAATAATAATTATATAATTATTGAATGAATTTTATAATAACATTAGTATTAATTATAATTCAGAGGCTAAGAAGACGGGAACGATGGAAAAGATGAGAGAGACATACTTTTTGATTACTTGCTGACTATTGATTGTTTATTTTATGGTTGACTCTGTTGATCACTTCATTTATTTTATTCATTGGATATCCGTGATTTATTGAATTTTGGTCTGATGATTTTTGTTTTAGATTGAATTATTCATTTTTCGTCAACTATTTTATGTATATGTGTACCCCTACGGACGAAGGTGTAGCTTTTATGATGTAGGTAATTATTACGTTATTTCTTTTCTAAGGGGTATATGATTTTTATGTATTGTAATTGTTTAGGTCGGGTGATTTTGTAGGTTGATTTATTATTTTATTGATTTTATGTATGTATTTTTGTGTATGTAAATGTAGAGAGAGGGTTAACTTTTGCATTGTATGGGTGGTTGCTAGTATTTTTCGCTAAAGGTTATATGATTTTTATGTATTGTATGTATAGATCGGGTGATTTTGTAGGTTGATTTATTTTTTTTATTGATGTAGGTATTTTTTTGTATGTGTATGATTCTTATTGTAATTGTTTAGGTCGGTTGATTTTGTAGATTGATTTTTTTTTTATTGATTTGATGTATGTATTTTTTTGTATGTGTAAATGTAAGGGGAGGGTTAACTTTTGCATTGTATGGGTGGCTGCTAGTATTTTTGCTAAAAAGTGTATGATTTTTTTAATTGTTATGGGGTGTGTGATTCTTATTGTAATTGTTTGGGTCGTGATTATTTTAGGTTGAATTTTTTGCCGGTTTTATGTATATTTTATGTTTGTGTAAATGTGGGGAAGGAGTAACTTGGTTAGTCGCCGATGTATTTTTTTTGCTAAGGGTTATAATTTCTTATGGCCGAAAATAAATGTTCCATCACTGTTTTAAAAGTTAATTTAAGTTAACCTGTTTATTTTATTTCTTGGCGGCGCGCATGTCACGTTTTAGTCGTGAAATAATTTAAACAAAATGTTCGTTAAATAGTTGAATTTTTTTATTATTTCTAACAATATTTTTATGAAATATTACGCTTTTGTCTGTTCAATTTTAATAAAGACGTTACGCGTTACGTTACTCATAATATAACTGTCTTGCACCACAGGTCAGGGTGGGGTTCGAAGAATTTTTTGTTATAAATTAATTAAAAGTTGAAAAAGTTTAAAACCATCTTATAAATGTCTGTTACGGCTCCGTCTAAGCTTAAAACAGGGATTGGGGGTGATAATAGAAACCTAGCAAGTTCATCAAAAAAATCTCTGATGATTCTCTTCATATCTCTGGTTATGGATTTGCTGGCCTTTACGGTCATTTTACCTCTGCTACCGACCATTCTGGAACATTATGAAACTGCTGAATACGTTTGTATCATTTCAATTGATTTTTTATAATTTTTATGTATAAAAATAAACAATATAATATTTTACTCATATTATATTATTGGATTTATTATAATTATATTCGTGGCGTGTGTATCTGTGTGTATCTATTTTGTTTGCAATTAATTTTTAGTGAGTGTTAGACTTTCACTTTTGTATTTCATTTTGAGATGTTATTTCATGTTTTCAATAATTTTTTTTAAACATTACTTAATTATTACGATATTATTTATACCTGTACCTATGTCTGTCTGTGTGTATGTGTTGATTTTGAAATTTGGATTGATCTGTCATTGAATTTGATTTGTTGATTGTTTCACTAATTTCAGGACTTCCTATATGACAACATAAAAGCCGGAGTGTCTGGGTTCAAACATCTTGTTGGTATACCTGAATCTGAAAAATGGAACTCTGTTTTGTTTGGGGGTTGGTTGCGATTGATAATACTTTTAGCTAAAATTTAAAACTATATTTATAAAAAACCCTTAATTCATTCAAATATAAAAAAAATTAACAAAAACAGAAACAGTTCAAATTAACATTTAATTTACACTAATCCTATTTGAGTATAACATAACTAATTCCTGATCAAATTTCACAATTAGTCACTTTTAAATTTAATTTAATTTACTTTAATTTGAAGGTATTGTGGGGTCCATGTTTTCCTATCTTCAATTCATATCATCTCCAACACTGGGTGCACTATCCGATGTTCATGGCAGACGGCCGTTGATGATAATTACCTCTGTTATTTTTGAACTACTTTATTGAAATTATGATTTAGCAATGACATTATTCTTTGTATTGCTAACGTTGATTTACTCATTTTAATAATGGCAACTTACTCATTATCAAATGTGATAATTTCACTCTCTGATGATAATAACATCTTTCAGTCTTGAGTTACCTTATTAACATATCGGTTCAGTAATTAATTACATTAACTTTGTCACGTTGTTATTGATTACATCGCTATTACACTACTAAATTAATAAAATACTAACGGGGTTGATATGATTACTTGATTTTTACATTACATTAATAGTTTGCATTTACATTATATATTATTATCAATACCGTCTGCTATTACTGATTACATTACCAGTTATAAATTACTGATTACATACAGTTATCAATTAAATTTCATTAGATTGTGATTGCTCTGTCGTACTTGCTCTGGGCTTTCTCCACATCATTTACAGTATTCATGCTTGCAAGGATTATTGGTGGCATTAGTAAAGGTGTGTGCGTGCGTGTGTGTGTATATTTGTGTGTGTTGTGTGCATGTTTGTATGTGATTGTTGTGTGTGTGTGTGTTTGTATGCATGTTTGTGTGTGATTGTTGTGTGTGTGTGTGTGTGTGTGTGTTTGTATGCATGTTTGCGTGTGTGATTGTTGTGTGCGTGTGTGTTTGGTTATAGCGATAATGATGATGATGATGACTATGATGATATAAACATTGATTAAAATGATTGTAATGAGGATGTAACTTATTTTATTTTATTGTAATTTAATTTTTTTTGTAGGAAATGTAAGTCTCAGTACTGTGATTGTTGGTGATGTTACAAGTTCGTCTAAAAGGTCCAAAGGAATGGTTGGTTATGTTTGGTTGGGATTGGTTGGCTTGTTGGGATTGGTTGGTTTGTTGGCTATGATTTGTTTGTTGGCTGGTTGTGATTGGTTAGTTGGCTGGTTGATTGATTGAATGCTGGTTAGTTGGTTGCTTTGTTGATTGATTTTATTTATTTCTCTGTACACTGATGGAATAAATGATAGATCAACTGGCTGTATGTACGTATGTATGTATGTCTATGTATGTATGTAGGTATGTATGTAAAACAATAATGTTTTAACAGGCAGTTGTGGGTGTAGCTTTCAGTATCGGCTTCCTGATTGGTCCACTGATTGGGGCATGGTTCTCAATTAGGTCTTCTCAAGATTTTAACCAATTCTTCGTTTTTCCAGCCATATATGCATTCGTTCTCGCTTCTTTGAATGTCCTCTTCATTATACTGTTTCTGAAGGAGTCGCTACCAGTCGCGAAAAGAGTTTGTGGGTTTATTAATTAGTTGGCTGATTGCTTGGTTGGCCGATTGGTTGTCTAGTTGATTGAGTTAATGATGATCTGATAAAAATGAGTTGATGTGTTTATCAGTTATTTGTATTTTGATGTTTAGTTTGTTTTTTTTTGATTTATTGAAATGTTATTTTGAAATTCTTAAATTTTTTATTTCATTTTACTTTTTCATTTGTTGAAAATTTAGTCGGCCAGATTTGATTGGACAAAAGTTAGTTCACTGATCAATCCGTTCTCCCTGTTCAATTTCTCTGCTGTCAATCATGTCTCCAAGAATGGTCGGTTTGTTATTTTGTTGATTGATTGGTTGGTTGATTAATTGGTTGATTAATTAATTGATTGATTAATTGATTGATTGATTGATTGATTAAATATATTATGACTAACAACAGAAAAAGAACATTTGAAGAGGATTGGCCTGGTGTATTTCATGTATCTGTTCATTTACTCTGGCCTGGAGTTTACGTTAACTTTTCTGACTCACCAGAGATTTGCATACACAAGGTTAGTTAGGTGATTAAGTGGTTGATTAATATGGTTGGTTGGTTGGTTGATTGATTGATTGATTGATTGATTGATTGATTGATTGATTGATTGATTGATTGATGGATTGATTGATCGATGATTAGTTGGCTGATTGATTGAATAATTAATATTATTTAAGGAGAGTAATTAATGTTTTATATATTTTTGAAGCATGCAACAAGGCAGAATGTTCCTAGTGACGGGTCTCATAATGATCATCGTACATGGTTTAGTTTTTACGGCACTGTTGTCTTTCATCTTGTTGTTTTTCGTGTTGTTGTTTTGTTGTTCATGCTGTTGTTGTTGTTTTTGCTGTCACTGTGCTTCTAAGCTATTGTGGTTTTTCCAGTTAATGTTAGCCAAGTTTTTTTCATCAACGAAACCGTTTTTCTTCCAATTGAAGTAGGAATTTTTGTTATTAGTACTTCGTATTTAATTTACTTACTTAATTGAAATCGATTAATTAACATTAATCATTATCGCTGCCACTTCTCTTATTTGTCAATTAGGAACTGCAGTGAGGAAGGTGGAACCTGGGAAGGAGCTGGAAATGGCGCGAAATGTATGTTTGTTATTCGATGTCTTGTCTATGATTGTTTTCTCTCTGTCTGTTTGTCTTTCATTTCGTTTTCATCCATTCCATCTATTCCATCCATCCATCCATCCAGGGCATTCTTATTCTCATTCCGTCATTCATTCTGGTGGGCATGGCCAGCAATCAGGTCATCCTCTATCTTGGACTTGTGTTGTTTTCATATGGTCAGTTGTTGTTGTTGTTGTCATTGTTGCTATTATTGTTTTTCTTCTGTCTTTGTTGTTTTGTATGCTAGTTTTTTGTGGTTGTCGTTGTTTTCAACATCTTCACATCAACAACAACATCATCACCACATCACCAACAACATCTTCATATCAACAACAACATCACCAACATCTTCAACATCATCATTATCCTTACAGCATCGGCGACTGTGGTCTCGTGTTTAACGTCTGAAACATCTCGCATTGGCAGGGAGGAGAACAAGGGTACCATTATGGGGGTCTTCAGGTCTCTGGGGGCACTGGCCAGAGCCCTGGGCCCTTTCCTCGCTGCTATTGGTTGGAGAATTTTGAGAATTTTTGAATCTATTTTCGGTTTGATGTAGATTAACAGAGATTGAATGAATGACTTGATTATCCTATTCGATTGATTGTTGTTGGCTGATTGATCGATCGATCGATTGATTGATTAACTGATTGATTAACTGATTGATTAACTGATTGATTAACTGATTGATTGATCGATCGATCGATCAATCCATAGATTGATTGATTGATTGATTGATTGATTGATTGATTGATTGATTGATTGATTGATTGATTGATTGATTGATTGACAGCTTACTGGTACTGGAGTCCAATGATCTGCTACATGGTTGGTGCCTTCCTGCTCATCCTGCCTTGCTATCTGCTCGGAAACGTGAAATCAAAAGTTAACTAATTAATTCTTTGTTCTGCTCATTAACTAATTAATCTTGAATTGAAATAATTGATCGTTTAATTAATCACTAATTGAATTAATTAACAATCTAATTAGTAGTTGATCAAATTGAATATTTGTTTTTATAGAGTTTATTCATCGTTTAAAAACATTGGACACTCGGTTGTTTAACAGTGTAATGACATTATTTTTATTAATTTGTTAATAATAGACCGATAAACTGTCTGATCGCTCGGTCAATCGTTCTATTAAACAATTACCAAATTTGTATTATAATTGAGTGTTGAGGGTGAGGCCAGTGTCTGTCTTTACGAAGCAGTGTTTAAATATTTTTCTGAATACGTTCATTCATCTATTGATTCATTTTTATATTCGTTCGTTCATTTATGAATTAATTCACCTACTTATTCATTCATTCATTTACTCATTTGTTTATTCATTCATTCATCTACTCATTCATTTCTTGGATCAATAAAGTAGGCTATGCACTTGGTGTTTGCATGTGTTTTAATTGTTCAGTGCATTTATAATGTTCTCTGTTCTATTCATTTTTTTACTTTGTTAATCTGATATCATGATATTTTTGCTCTCTGGTGGCAACGTATGCATGCATCTGAGTATTTGTATGCATGCATCTGAGTATTTGTATGCATGCATCTGAGTATTTGTATGCATTCATCTGAGTGTATGTGTGCATGCATCTGAGTATTTGTATGCATGCATCTGAGTATTTGTATGCATGCATCTGAGTATTTGTATGCATGCATCTGAGTGTTTGTGTGCATCATATATAATGTTTATTTAATGTTGAGGAGTTCAGTGACCTTTTTTTCATGTTAACTTTTTATGAGCAGCAGTCCATTATCCTCGTCGATGGATCGTGATAAAAAAAAATTTTTCTTGCGCCCTTCATGTATTTCGTATTGAAATATTATCCTACACATGTGTATATGTATGCGTAGATTTCATGTGAGCGTGTATGTGTATGTATGTTTGTGTGTTTATGTATGTGTGTGTGTGTGTTTGTATGTTTACTGATTTTTTTTCTGGCGCCTTTCATGTATTTTGTATTATATTGTATTTATATTATCCTACACATGTGTATGTATGCGTAGATTTTATGCGAGTATGTATGTGTGTTTGTGTGTGTAAATGTATGTGTGTCTGTTTGTGTGCGTGTGTGTGTATGTATGTGTGTCTGTGTGCGTGTGTGTGTGTCAATCGCTGGCTTTTTTATATAAACAACATATGTACTTGGTGATAATTTTATCAACGTAATTTGTGCATCTATATTTCGACCTTCTATCTTTATTATTATTGTATATTTTTAACTATGTGATACCAATCAATCGTTCGAAGGCTTATGTGCGTGTGTGTTTGTGTGTTTTTATTCGTGTATATTTGTTTATAAATATATATGTATATTTTTTTTAGCTTCAATTTTGGGTATTTTGTGATATTGCTGTAATGATGATGAAATTAAAATGATGACGATGATTATAATTATGATGATTAATTTGATGGAGATGGTGCTGATGATGATGATAGCGCTAATCAAGCACGATAATGACGATGGTTTTTAATAAGCGAGTATCTTATAAAAAGGATGATGATGATGAAGACGAGGGGGATGGTTCTATATAAAAACCGGGGCACGGTTTTACACTCAATTAAAGTCATCACATTTCAGTCCAATGTATGTATGTATGTATGTTTATTTGTTTGTATGTTTATTTGTATGTATGTTTATTTGTTTGTATGCATGTTTATTTTATGTTTGGTTAGCTGCTCAAGATATGTAGGCCAGGCAGCAGTTGGTCTGAACTCGAACGCGGTTTTTTTTAGTTTGTTTGCATGTTGGTTTGTTTGTTTGCATGCTGGTTTGTTTGTTTGTTTGCATGCTGGTTTGTTTGTTTGTTTGCATGCTGGTTTGTTTGTTTGTTTGAAGACGGAGAATGAAACGATGACGATGATGGTCAGCAGCAGGAAGAGGAGGATGATGATGATTGGCGAGATCCAGATGGTGATGAAGACGATGAGTTCGATGTCATTGTCCTTGTATGAATGAATGAATGAATGAATGAATGTTCTTTTTTTCCATATTGATTCAACTGATGGTCCATTTTTAAATTTTGTATTAAAAAAGATTGGAAATTTGAAAGTAATGATATTTAAAAAAAAGTGATTTTTCATTCAATTCTATCATACACGCAAGCAAGTCCCCTGCCTGCGTCAGTGAATAACATGTTAATCAAAAGCGCGCGTCCTCCAATTAAAATCAGGGCTTCGCAGGAATAAGCATAAATTATGTAAATGGTTAAATTTTATTGGATGATTTTTGGATTGATAGAAAGGTAGTAAGAATAGTGGATGAGTAAATAAACAAACTAGTGAATGAATGAATGAATAAATGAGCGACTGAATGAGTGAAGTAATGTACGGATTTATATTAATGAATGAAAAAAAAAAATTAAAAATAGTTGGAAAAATGAACTCAATTGGGTTAACAAGTTAATGAGAAAAAGGGTTAATTTAGCTAAATAAAGGCACGCACGTTACTGGGTGCATGAGTTAGTGAATGAAATAGTGAATGAAATAATGATTTATAAGAGTGAATTCATTCCTCTGTTTGTGAATGAACTTTGAGGTGAGTTAATGATTTATTCAATAGGTGAATGAACGACTATATATGTTATACATATGTATTGATATGTATTATGCATGTGTGTGTAATAGTGTGTGTCATTAGCTGATTGATTGATTGAGTAAATAGGTGAAATTATGAACGAATGAATAGATTGAATGAGAAACATCTGACCGAGAAATTCGCATTGTTTAATAATTTGTCAAGTGTTTTATTACAGCCCGATTAATGTTAAGTCGACTAATGATGACTAATTAAATCAGCCGTCAGTTTGGAAAGCCATCAAGGTCAGAGTGGGTGAGTGGCTACTGAATTAAACTATCACAACAATACCTGCAATGTCGTTGTTGATAAAACGAACGTCGCCGAATAAAATAAAAACCACCTACTAAGACTCATCGATTCTGACAGCCATACCTAAGTACGCATGTATGTGCGTATGTATGCATGCGTGTATGTATGTGTGTATGTATAAACCCGTTTTGATGAACAAGCCATGGTTAGGCATGCAATTTTCATTTTTGAAATCGGACGCTTTAAGGGCAGCAGTGCCCGCCTCCACTGAAGTGTAGCCGATATATCGGTCAGCCATAGTGTGGGGTAAGGTAACGTCCCAAGCCAGGGACCGTCCCTGAGCCCATGGGGTGATAGTGTAACCATCAGGCCTAAAGGCTCCTTCCTCTATCAAACCCATGGGTTCTTTTATAACCGGGATACCAGCCTTTTGAAAACATCGTACCAGGTATTCGTTGACAGCCATATGTCTGGCTTGTCTTCCAGGACCTAGACGACAAGAAAGGCTATGGTATCCAAGTTCATCAACCCTTGCCCCACATGCGCATTCGTATTCGGTGACGATCTGGGCTCCAAGTCTCAAACCAAGGCTCACGCGAACACAGGAGTCATCCAATCTAGTGCCGCAGGAGGTGTTGGGTAGCGCTCTCAACCAGGCGGAGCCCAACTCACTTTTGACAGCCATAATTCTAGCCTTGTCAAAATTGGAGCCATTCAGTTGCAGCCATCGATCAACTGATCTATTAAGACAGGGGGCGATCCAGTGTTTTTGCGAGGGGTTTTCGAGCGCAATCGAGGAGTTTGTGTGTATGTATGTATGTACGTGTGTATCCATGTATGTATGTATGTATGTATGTATGTATGTATGTATGTATGTATGTATGTATGTATGTATGTATGTATGTATGTGTAATTTTGTATAAGTCAATGACCACAACGTGTAGCATTCTTTCAAAGGCACATATTTCTCTCACCTCTTCATTTTTTTTTCTCTCTCTTTCTCTCTTTTTTTTCGCTCTCTCTCTCTCTCTCTCTTTATATATATATATATTTATATATACACACATATGTATATTGTTTTACACATACATGTGGGTTTAGAACTTTGTTGCTTATGGCTACCACATTATCAGGTCGTTCAACTCTCCACAATGCTTTTTCTATGATATATACGTGTTTGTATATATACGTTTGTATGTATATGTGTGTATGTATGTATGTATGTATTTATGTATGTATGTATGTATGTATGTTTGTATTTATGTAACCTTAATATTTTTATACGTACATATTCCAGATCTCAGCTCGCGATCTAGATCTTTTTCCATGGTATTATTTTTTAAACTAGAGATGACCTACAATTTGCTACGCTCCATCCTTTATAACATCTCCTCCTTTTAACGGTTTCCTTTATTTACTTTTTCCAAATTATTCGTTTTCTCGCAATTATATGTACATATTTTATGTTATATATAAATGTATATGTAAATATATATATATATATAGTTATATATATATAGTTATATATATAGTTTTATATATATATATATATTTATTTATATATATATATAACTGGGTCGTTAGGTGACAGCATTTGCACGGCTTTTATGCTCACCAGCAGATGCATGACTGTTGTTGCTTTGCAAATGTATTTTTATTTAAGTATATAAATTATTCATGTAGGTCACGAAGCGTTGTTTATATTTATGCATGTTAATTATGTAAGTAGGTCAGATTTATATTTATTAGGTTAGGTAAATAAATATTGAACGTGCCATGATCTTGTTTTATGTTATTTGATTTAAAAAAAAGGGTCAAAATGAATTTTCTCAGTGCTGTCCACTAACAAGCATTGGGAGGAGTTTTTTTTATTCTGGCAATACAAATATACTGTTTCTATATATATATATATATATATATACATATATATATATATATATATATATATATATATATATATATATGTTGTGTGTGTGTGTGAAATGTGTGTGCGTGTGCAACTGTGCGTGCTTGCTAGTAACCTTGTTCGTTTGCTGTGGTTTTTTTGCTTAGCTTGCAAAGTCATGTGAGTATTAGTAATACATCGTTCGTATATCTGGTATATGCGGTCGATTGAATGAGTTTGCTAGTTTGTTTGTGTGTGAGTGTGTGTGTGTGTGTGTTTGGGTTAACATGTGTTTGTATGTTTTTTGTGTGTGTTTGTACGTACATGTGTATATGTGCGTGCGCTTTTATATATGTACGTATGTGTGTGTGCGCGTATGTATATATCTCTTCTGATTTGTAATTGTAAAGTCGAGATTGTATCGTAATTAAAGGTGTTGATTTGTAAAAAATTACAATACCAGCATTGATTTCTAACAACAACAACAATAATAATATTATTATTATTGTTGTTGTTGTTCTTGTTATTATTATTGCTTTTTCCGACCATATGTTTCCATAATCCAGATTGCTGATGGATGATCCACCCAGCCACCTGTTCCATGCGTTTGTTTTTGTTTACCTTCGCAAATGTTTGGTCTATTTGCCGTGCTCTTTCCCTCCTCTCTTTCTCTCTCTCTCTCTCTCTCTCTCTCCTTCATCTTTCTCTCTCTCTTTCTTTTTTAATTTTCCTCTCTCTCTCTTTCCTCTTGATCCATATATTTTTTATTTGTTTGGAATGTTAAAATTGTTAATAAACAGCAGTAGTAGTGCTTGACTTGGATGATATTGATGATGATATTGATGATGATGAGGATGGTGGTGATGATATCGATGTTGTTTCATTTATTTTTGTTTTTCGTCTTCTAATGAGGTGCTCTTTAAAAAAAAATCACGTAGTTCACTTTCAATAGTTTCTTAGAATTCTCATGTTTTGTTGCTCGTATTTATGTATGTTTGTTTATTTGTTTGTTCGTTTGGTAGTTCTTTTTCTCGTTCGTTCGTTTGCTCTCTGTTCATTCATTCATTTGTTCGTTCGTTGTTCATTCATTCGTTTGTACCCGTGTTCTTTTATTTGTATACTTGCATGTATCAAATCAAAACTATCTATCTATCTCTATCCTTAAATCCATTTAAATTCGTTTTCACGTTTTACGCACTCACAGCACTCTCTCTCTCTCTCTCTTTCTCTCTGTACATAATAATAAATTGACTAGGAAATTGGTTCAATATTTTTTCTACTATTGTTTATCTGCTATTTTTGTATCATTGCCTTTTCTCTCTCTCTCTCTCTCTCTCTCTCTCTCTCTCTCTCTCTCTCTCTGTGGTAATAAATTAACTACTAAATTAGTTCAATGCCTTTTTATTGTACACTTCCTATCTTCTTTTTAAAGATTTTGTGTTAATTTTTGCAGTTCTTTTGTACCATGGCAGACAGACATTGCTTTTTTCAAAAGTTTATAAAAAATAACGATAATGAGGTTATTCATCATAAACAACGAAAAACGTCCAAAAAATCATCAACTCCACCCAAATAACTTCGTACACCGAATTAATTTTTGTCGCCTGTTAATAATTTTTTCGATTTGATGAACTATTTAATTGAACATTTTTATCTCGGCTGATTTAAATGGGATTTAGCGTCTAGTCATGTTGTTAATGTTAATTTTTTTGTTTTTTAAGTCGTTGTTGTTGTTGTTAATTATTTATGTCTCTGTTTACTTAGGAATTAGCGATCCACATAGAAAGTAGTTTCGCACTAGCAACTTGCGAACTTTGTTGTGTATGTGTATTATATTAACAGGGGTGTTAGATATCTGACTGTCTGTCTATTTGTCTCTCCTTCTGTCTCTCTGTCTGTATGTCTGTCTGTATGTCTATCCTTCAGTCATCATTCATTATTAGATAGATGCTTTTTTGAAAATGTTCGTTATTGTTTATATGTTTATGTCATCATTATTACTGTGATGTATGCATGTGTGTGTGTGTGTGCGTTTGTGTGTGTGCCCGCGCGTTTGTGTGTGTGTGTACGATTATGTGATGATTTTGCTCATGATGATATGAATCCTCTGTATGATCAAAGGAAGATGAGGTGTTCAAAATGATGCTATCAACGATGATGACGACGATGATTTTGCTTCTTAATTACAGAATGATGATGAAATTGCAAAATGCAAATGGTTGTACGAACGTTAAGCTATGATGCAATAGGAATGATTAAGATGATGATGATAATGATGAAATAAACGATCTCGCTGATGATGAGGAAGATGATGAGGATGATGATGACGTAGCTATGATGATGCTATAGCACGTGAAGTTAAAATTATTAGCGTCCAAATGAACACGTCATACCCTATTCTCACACGCACGCACACACACACACATGTATTTATATATATATATATGTTTGTATGCCAATATATATATATATATATATATAATGACACATATATATATGCTTAATATATATATGTGTCATTAATATATTATATATTATTATATTTAATTACCATATCATTAATATATATATATATTTACAATATTCTATAAATTCTACCGAATGGTATAAATTCTATAAATTCTACCATTCTGCAACCAACCGATGTAATCTAACAATCGAACAAGATCGCGAGCAGCGACTGCTCCATCTCTCTCGAGAATTAGAAGTTAACATTCGGTAGAATTTATGGAATATTGTAAAAATTATGGTCTATTACCAACATATATATATATATATATATATATATATATATATATATATATATATATGTATGTATAGCATATCATTATACATATATAACCAACGCTTAGGTGCATGCTACTGTATGAATGGGAAAATTTTTTAATATTGTGAGGTGAGAAGGAGAGAGAGAGACACGGGGAGAATAAGAGAGAAGTGAGAAAAGGCAGTGAGAAAAGGCAATAAAATGAAAGAAAGATGAAGAAGAAAAAAGAATAATGTGGAAAAATGTAGATGGAGGGTCATTGGTGTTGGTTGCTTTAAGGGCATTGACACCGTGTGTCATCATCGTAACCGTCATATATAGATATATATATATATATATATATATATATATGTATATATATACATATATATATGTGTGTGTGTGTGTATATATATATATATATATATATATATATATATATATATATACTGGATTCTAGATCGATGGTGAATACTCCAAATTTAATTGAAAATACTAGAAAGAAAGTGGTGTGGCGGAATGGTGTCGAATCAGAATACGGACTCGACATAACAATAATGTTAATGATAACAATAATGTTAATGATAATATTATCTACGGTGGTTACTCATTCAGTGTAGATTTAACAGTAACTAGATCGAGAATGAAATAAAATGAAATGATGCATGTATATTAGATTGCTATTATAAACTGGCATAGTATTAATCATTTTTTAAAGTCAATCAATCAATCAAGTGATAGTTTTGTCATAATTATCATTTATAACGATTATAACCACACACACATACACACACACACACACACACACACACACACACACACACTTAAATTTCATTCACTTCTCGAAATTCTCAACTCGTTCACCGCGTGTTTTTCAGTTAGTGTTCGTGTTATGTATATTCAACATCCTACTTATTATATAACTGCTTGTAGTACATCCTAAGTATATTAATATGTGCATACATTTTTTACATGTATATTTTACATTATAGTGTGTACATATATACATATTATTTTATATGCATATGATGTTTGAAATGTATATATTCATCATGTATATTTATTGTATATGTTTATATGAATAAAAACATATGTTTTAATTTTTATATATTTTATACCAAGTGTATGGAACCATTCAATAGCACGAGTTAATGAACCACACTACAAATATAGATCAACATTAATATTCAGAAGTTTTAATTATGCAACTGGTTCGTTTTTCTAGAATCTTATTGGCTGAAGTCATTAATTATTAATGCAAGATGTCTCCTGATTGGTCCAATGAGCACTGACGTACTTTACCGTGTCAAGGTGATATTCGAGATAAACAAACATTGCACCATCAGTTTTAAAAAGAGGAAAGTTGTGGAATTTTGTTAAATTTTCGACAACAATCTCAGCGATTTTAAGGTGATTTCAGTTTAATATTTCACGAAATATTATTCAAATGATTATTAATAAACTCATTTAATAATTCTAGATTATTCTCGAATGTCCATGAACAATCTAGTTTGATGTTTTGTTAGTTATATTATATATAACACAGTACACAGTGACAATGAACAACAATGATTCAGCTAATATTTTTTTTTTAAAGTGTTTTTCTTTTGTTATTTTTAAACTTAAATATCCATTAAATGTCTTTTTTTCTTTTCATACAGATAAAAAAAAATACTATTGAGGAGGAGATAACTTCAAGCAAACTTAAAAAATTTGCACATATGTGATCAAAACAGAACAGATCAGAACATTCATCGAATATTGCTAGCTGAATAAATAATATAACTTACTGACATATTATTACGATATTCATGAATTACTGTAGTAACATTATTCCTGATAAAGATCAATTTATAACAAGTAAAGTACAGTTGACATCCCAGAAGGTAGGAGTGTTAGATCTTAGCAGGAGAAGTTCATTAAATATGGTCGATCCGAGTCTCTACAGTCCTTTTGAATCAGAATCTCCGAGCAATTTGATAACTTCTGAATTGGATTGTTTCTACAGCAACGACATCTACAACGGCCAAAATATGTCTGGCTTCAAGAAACCATCCAACATCAGCAAGATGAACACCGACCTGACGTCGATCAAGCTTGAAATTGACACTAACTCGGATGCTTTCTCGCCCGATAATTCGGTTAGTGTGTACAGCAGCGGCAGTCAGAAGGCTGGTCTAATTAGTCCTTCTGTTGAAAATCTTACCATGGATAAATGTGTTGAGTATTTTACACTGTCAGGTAACAACAACAATGTTGCCAACATCAATAATAACATCATCGCCAAATATGTCCCAGATGACATTAACAAAATTAAAGCAGCTAAAATGTTCACTGTTGATAACATCAACGCCGCCAGCAACAATAATAACGTTAACTACAACAATCTCATTCAGGAAATCCAAGAAACAAAATGTGACCCTTCAAAGTTGAGTGAACTGACGTCTGAAATGTTGAGCATGCCACCTGAGGAGTACGATTACTTTGGCCAGGACTCGTACATTCAACCAAACAACGTGGACTTGTTCGACGGGGAGCTACTCAACTTTCAACACAACTACCAAAATGGCTACAACAACATCTCTGATGATAATGTTGTTGTTGTAAACAGCAATAATAGCAACATTAACAGTAATGCTAATGCTTATAATGGCTATATTATCAACACCCAAAACAACAATAGCGCTCACAATGACAACAGTTTAACCAACAATGAAACTAACAACAACAACAACATTAATATGTACAGCAACAACAATAGCAGCAGTCATGCAAATACATTCCTGAACTACACAAATCTTCAGCAACATGACTTTCAAACCAGCAACAACATCAACAATGGCAACGGTTGCATCGTTATCAGCAACGACAACCAAAACAACACACTCGTCAATAACAACAGCTTATCAAGCAACAACATCATCATCAGTAGTAACAACAACAACATCAGTAACAGCAATAACATCAACTTGGTGAACCTCGGTGATTCAGATGATCCGCATATTCTGACACTGAATGTGGAAGACCTGAAATGTTTGCTGGAGAACACTGGAGATCGATTCCTACTTGAAATCATCGGCGACCAGTTAATCTTCAATACCAACAGCAATGGGAATAACAGCATCGCTTTTGACATCAACAACAACTCAATCATTAACAACGACAACAACAACGCTAACAGCATCAGCTCTAGCAACAATCTTTATTATTTCACTGATTCTAATGACAATAACATTCTCAATGATAACAATAACGTTTTCACCATTTCAACAGCAGATAACAACAACAACAACATTATGAATGGCAACGTTAATAAGTATGCCAACAATAGCATCAACGCCTACAGTATTAACAACAACATCATCAACAACAGCAAAGAGTATCACCTGAATTATTTACCCACGTCACCACCGACATCTGCCAAAAAAATTACCCTTCAGCAAGATGACATCAACAGCATGTTCATGTACTACGACAACGTCAACAACAACAACAGCAGCGGCAACAACAACAATAACATCAGCATCTGGGACTGCAAAGACTACGAACACGATCTTTACATAATGACCATCCAACGAGAATGATGATTGCATCATCAGCAACAACAACAACAACATCATGCCAACCGTAAACATTACAATTGAAAAAGATGATGTAATGGATGATGAGGAGAAAATGTTGAAGAATGAAGAAATTGATGAGGACGCCGACGAAGATAATGAAAACAACACCAACAAAATTGTCAATATCAATAATGGTGTGAGAGTCCTCACTTATGACAAGCCTAATTTGAGGAAAAGAAGAAAGAGACAGATTTCTGAAGCTAGTAGCTGCTTCACAGGTTGCTTTAATTGATCTAATTGATATAATTATATTTAATATAATATAATTTTATTGATGCTGATTAATTAATTAATTTGCTTATTTATTTAATTATTTAATTAATTATTTGTCATTTGCTTGTGTCAATTACTCTTGCCAATTTTTATTTTTCGTAGCTGACGGCTCTGATGATGATCTTTCTGACTCAGGTTTCACCCTTTTTGATGATGATGATGATAATGTCATTGATAATTATGATTAACTATAATTTAATGATAATTTATTTGTAATGTATCATCATCTTATTCATGACCATATAAATTGTCACTGAGTGAACCATCTTTGTCATCATCGTTGTGTATTTTTTTTCCAATCATGCACTTAATTAATTTTATTCTGCGGTTTTTGTAGGTTTGTTTTTGTTTCTAATTGAAATGATGATTCACTGGTTCCCTTTGGTTCTTAAAAATATAATTTTTTGCTGATTGGATGTGATTTTTTGATGTTAACAAGTATTATTTTACGCCTAATTCATAATAAATCTATAAATATACGATTAGTGGTCGTTAATTATAATTGTTACGGCCGTAATTACGTTAGAATTGTTCTATATTTATAATAAATTAGTGTTAATTACTTTCTGTCAGATGATGATGCCAGTGAATTTATAGCTGATTTAAAGTCCAATGGATCTCAACAGCAGAGGTATGTACATGCTTGAAGAGTCGTTTGCTTATGTTGTTGTTGTTGTTGTTGTAGTCGTTGTTGTAGTCGTCTGTTGTTGTGATATGATGATGTTATGCCGTTAATGTAATTAATGCTTGCGGTTAATGTCATTTTGTTAATGTGTTAATGTCGTTGTTATTGACGGATTCGTCAGTGGGTGAGTCATCAGGGCCTTCTTAATCATCATTCACTTGTAGCAATTACCAAAATATTCCCTCATTGTTGTTATTATTGTTGTTATTTCTTATTCATCAATGACCATGTCTTCAAATTTATATCATGACAGACACATATCATGGTTTGAAGGATTATGAAGAATTAGTCATTGCGTTGTTTATTTATCTTTTCACGAGTTCAACTTCTTAGCTAATTAACTAAGATATTAAAAAATTATCCAATTGGCCGATTAATTAATTAATTAATTGATTGATGAGTGAGTTGTGTCACCTACCAGATACTTCTGGCAGTACAACGTCCTCTCAAAAGGTCCGAAAGGTCGAAGACTGTGTCACGCCATCGAGACCAGCGACCCACACGTTCTTGGGGACTTTGAAGATCCCGTCTTTCACCAAGAGCTCCAAGATAAATATAAACACAATGGCAAAGCCAGGAGAGGTGATGGCAATGACGTTACTCCTAACCCTCAGCGGTTTGTGCGTGCGTGCGTATGTGTGCGTGCGTGTACGTGCGTATGGGTTTGTATGTTTTTATCTCTATTGAAAGCACGAATGTGTAAGCTAGTTTGTTTGTTTTTTCTGTTAGGATGCTATGTTATTTGTTAAGTTGATTGAGTCAGTGCTTTTTCGTTCTGAGTGTTTCTTGGTAATAATAATAAAATTGTTGGAAGTAGTAATGCATTTTCCATCGAGAGTAACCAGTTTCCGATGAAATTAATCAAGCTAAGAAGATTCGTTTTGCTTTGAAAGACGCTTTCATCAATAGAAACATCACATTCATTCATGCCTCACATCATCACACTGCAGATTGTTCAACACGGGAGTTGAACTGCAGAAGCTGAACAAGCAGATAATGCTGATGGCACCGTCTAACGACTGGCCGACTGCCCAAAAAAACAAGGTGATCAGGGAGAGGAACAAGTTAGCGTCGCGGGCCTGCCGTCTCAAGAAGAAGGCGCAACATGAAGCCAACAAACTCAAACTGCACGGACTCAAACTCGAACATAGTTCGAATTTTTTTCCCTACTATGTTTATTTTTCTATGCTTTTTGTTTTTATTTTTCTATCATATTTTTTTAATTTTTTATGATATTCATTTTTCTACTTGTTTTTTATGTAGATTTAATAATATCTCCTTTGAGAATTGTTTCGATGGTATTCGATGGATTTCGTCCTTTTAATGCCCTCTTTAAAGTAAACTGAATTCCATCTCGGATTAACTAGGAGTGTTTTATACTCCTTGGTTCAGTTTTTAATTGTTTATTAATTGCTCACTGAGCTGGTGGTTTGTTTGCTTTCATTCAAGCTATCAAAGCTTAATTCCATCCGTACATGAGTTAGATTTAATTTCATTTCTTTGAACGCACAGTTTGAGCATTACAATCGAAATAATTTGTTTATTTGCCACTGAATGCTTAGGAGTTATTAATTGTTTAATATTATTAACAATAATGATTTTTATTATGATAAATATTATTCGGTTCATTTTCTGGATGAACAAACAAAGGTCAGTAGTAAGAATAATTTTTTTTATTCTCATTATTATTTATTATTTACAATCATATTAATAATAATTATAATCATAATAAATATGACAACAGGTCAGCTGATGAAAGTGTTGTCTTCTGTGAAGAGCATGGTACATCACCATCGTCATCAGATTGCTGGAGGGGCAAGAAACAACAACAACAACAACGTCAGTCTCGTTGATCAACTAACATTACTCACAAGAAAACATCTTAGTTAGTTGCTTGATTTTGATTGTTTGGTTGGCTGGTTGATTAATTGGTTGATTGGTTGGTTGGTTGGTTTGTTGATTGATTGGTTGAGATAGATAGGTAGGTAGGTAGGTAGGTAGGTAGGTAGGTAGGTAGGTAGGTAGGTAGGTAGGTAGGTAGGTAGGTAGGTAGGTAGGTAGGTAGGTAGGTAGGTAGGTAGGTAGGTAGGTAGGTAGGTAGGTAGGTAGGTAGGTAGGTAGGTAGGTAGGTAGGTAGGTAGGTAGGTAGGTAGGTAGGTAGGTAGGTAGGTAGGTAGGTAGGTAGGTAGGTAGGTAGGTAGGTAGGTAGGTAGGTAGGTAGGTAGGTAGGTAGATAGATAGATAGATAGATTGTTTGATATATTGAAAGATAATAAGTAGAGTGAGAAATAAATTTATAGACAGCTTAATAGGTATATAGATCGATTAGCTAGTCTGATAAGCTAGATTGATTAGCCTAATTCTTAGAATCAACATCACCTTAGTAAAGGAAGGATTGAACGATGAATGAATGAATGAATGGATGAATGAATGAATGAATGAATGGATGAATGAACGAATGAATGAATGAACGAACAAAAAAACAAGTAGCTAATCTATTGAATTAAATTTTTATACCAGCGACGACAGTTGCAGGCAAGACGGCGGATTATGTGAACAACGTTCTCGACAAAGTTGCCCTTGGTGACAAGACTGGCGGAATAAACGCCAAAAATTGAGGATTAACTGAAGAAACTTCATCGAAACAGATAAAGGAATGAAGATAATTATCTTCATATACAAGATATAAAAATTATACAGAATAAATATGTATGTATATCAATATTGTGTACAAATATACATTCTAATTCGTATAGACAGGATGCATGTGTGCGTGTGCGTGTGTGTGTGTGTGCATGTATATGTGTGTTGCATGTATGTGTGTGTGTCTGTGTGTGTGTCTGTACCAGTTTTAATTCAAGTAGTTGTACATATTATATTTACACTTTTAAAATACTGTCGAACTGAAAAGACGACTTTCTTCTGTTATAATATCTGCAACGTTACACAGCTCCTTCATCCATTTTGTGTTTTATTCTTATTCAAGTTTTTTTTTCAGATCAGAGTTTTACTTTAAAATTTTTTTTCATTTTCGGGACTCTTGCAAAATTATTTTTTGTCTGTGTGTCTTTCTTTTTTTTTTTGAAATTTTTTGTCTGTGTAAAAATCAATGAAGCAGTGACTTCTACCATTAATTACTATAATATAAACAATAATAATAACATTATTATTATTTTTTTTAGTAATAATGATAATAAATAACATTAATTTCGGCAACATTAGCACTTTCTATCATCTGTGATTTTTTTGATTGACTTCATTTAAATAACTTCATCAGAATTCTAAGAAAACTTTTATTATTTTGTTTTTTCATCATAATTTTTTCTTGAACTTGAACTTTACCGAATTTTTTCTCTTATAAACTCAATTGTAAAGGGGAATACACAAACACACCCTTACTTACACACACAGAACTTACATGTAAAGTGTATATTCCTTTATTCCTGTACAAATATTCGTTCTTTCATTCATTCATTCGTTCATTCATTCTTTCATTCATTCATTCGTTCATTGACTGACTATTTTTCAATTCATTTTATTAAATTGCTAACTTTCAGCTGTTTGTATATTACGTGTGTGTATCTACTAAATATATACAAGTGTTTTGTATTGATATTCTTGACAATTCATGTATGTATATATATATATATATATTTATATATGTATATATATATATATATAAATATTTGGTGGTGCATTGAATGAGTGAATGAATAAGTAAGTGAATGAATAAATGAATGAGTGAACGAATGAATGAACTGGTAATTCTTTTTCTTCAAATGGTTTTTTTCAAATCCCGGATCAAAATTCAGCCTTGGTACGCATTCACGTGCATTGACATTCATACTTTCATTATTACAATAATAATAATAATAACCATCATCATCATCATTATTATTATTATTATTGTTGTTGTTGTTGTTACTATTATTGTTGTTATTTTTATCGGCTTTTGTTGTTCAATAGTCAGCTCTGTTTATTTATTGGATTTCAGAAACTTTTTTTTTTCAGATGTTTTATATCAATGACACATGTGTTTGAAACGACACATATGTGAGTAATTATAATAATAAAAATAATAATAAAAATATTATCAATAATAATAAATATTATTCTTAGCTTTTTTCCGTAATATTTCTAATATAGACATATCTCCCTCGTTCATGTTGTTTATTATCTTATTCTATTCTTCTCATGCTATCTTCATCAGTGCTTAATAATAACTTATAATGAACTGACTAAATATATAAATATAATATACATATATAATATACTTTAACACATATAAGTATATACGTTAGCGATGTTATATGGGATGTGTTGTTGACTTAATACAATCAATATATGAATAATTAGAGATATGTATATTGTGAGAGAGAAAGAAGGAGAGAGAGGAGACGGAGAGAAGAAAGGATCAGTCTTTTTTCTTAATTGTATTGCTAAACTTAATTATTAAATTTTATGTATTATTATCCGGTGGTTTTATTATTTTTCTTAGTATTACTTCTATAGTTATTATTATTATTATTGTTGTGGTGGTTATATCTGTTGTTATTTATGATTTTATTTTATATAATAATAATAATAATAGATGACTTTAAAGGAGTGGCGGAATTAAATTTCGTAAGTTTAATTTCCTTTTGGATAAGAATAAAAAAATGCTTTAAATATATGTGTGCGTGTGTGTTTCGTTATTTTGCTACATGTATTATTGTTATATTATTGATTTGTTTATTATTATTATTATTATTATTGTTGTTATTGATTTGTTTATTGTTTATCAATATAATCAATATTGTTATTACTACTACTACTACTACTACTACTACTACTACTACTACTACTACTACTACTACTACTACTATTGATTTGTTTAGCGCTTTATAAGCTTTGCATCTGTTTGGTTCTGAGTACACGCATTTTACTGTTCAATTCGCCTTTCGGAATGATCATGGTTCAACTTTTGCGAAAGAAAAATGGAAATTTTATAATATATATATATATATATATATATATATTGAAAAAATAATGCTATATATATAGAAAGAATATATATATATGTATATAGAAAAAATAATGCTATATAACTTGCTTATTGTGTACCTTTTATTTGGAATTGTTGCTCCGGTTCTTTAATGTTTATGTATATCTTGTATATCTTTTCGCTTTTATTTCTATACATAAACATTTTTTTAACTTGTTGATGGTGATTCATTGTTTGTACTGTTTTAATGTTATTATTCGTTCGTTTATGTTGTTCGTTCGTTCATTTGTTCGTTCGTTCGCTCATTCATTTCATCGTTCACACCACTAAAACATTGACACGTTCATGTTTGTAAATGACATAATGTTTGTTCTCCATCTTCGTTCATAATTTCACAGCAATGGTAAGAAGAGATATAAATTAATTCACTCAACATCTTTGTAAAAGTGTGCTGTGTTATGTATGTGCGTGTGTATGCCTATGTGTGTACACTTATGTATGCGTGCGTGTGTACACCTATATATGTGCATCGTTGTACGCGTTTATTGTTTAGTTTGTGTGTCGGTGTTAACAATAATTTTTTGGACCCATCTTACTTCAATTAAGTCTGCCCTTCTAAGTATCTTTTAATGATTTATTTTCAAAACTTTTTATGTAGTTTGGTTCGTTCGTTCGTTTGTTTGTTTGTTCGTTCGTTCGTTTGTTTCTTGATTTTTGTTGTTGAATTTTTCCTCTTAAATCAAATTTTATCATCCGGTTAATATCATTTATCATTCATTTATTAGATCATGTATATATTTACGTGTCTGTGTTTTTTTATGTGGACGTGTTTGTGTTCCTTGTTTCTGTTTGTCTGTATGTGTGTCTGTGTGCGTGCGTGTGTGTGTGTACTTGTGCATGTACATTTTCCTAAAAAATACTTGAAATTTCAATTTTTGTTTCTTAATTTTTCTTATTTTCCAACTCTTTAAAAGACGTTTTACTTTCTGCAGACTTGACTCTTTTAATTAGTAAGATGGGTTTTTTCATTTGCGAGGATTTTCAGAATAAAATTAATCTTAATGATGAAAAAATTATCATTGAAAATTATTCTATTGTATTTTGTCAAATAGTATTGTTGTTGATGTTAAATGTTTTATCATTAATCTTCACTATTGTTATATATATATATATATATATATATATATATATATATATATATATATATATATATATTTCAAATTTCATTATCCATTCATTCGTTCGTTTGCTAGTTCGTTCGTTTATTCTTTCATTCATTCACTCATTTCTTTACTGATGCAAATCTTTCTCGAGCGTTTTTTGGACTGTAGCGAAATTCTATATAGCTTAACAAAATTTTATAATTATATAAATAATAAATCGATATATATTATTAATTATATATAAATATTAATAATTATACACACGTGTGTGTGCGTGTGTGTTATGTATATAAGTATACAAAGTCTTTCGTTTCTTAAGAAAAATATTTAGCGATCTTTAAATTTTAGTATTTCTCAGTTATATTATTATTATTAATTTTTTCATTATTATTATTATTATTACTGTTATTATGGAAAAAGATTAATTAATTTTGATACCTTTAATTTTGATTAATTATAAAATTTTTGGGTTTTGTCAGTGATGGTCTGATTTACTAAACAAGATTTACTAGCTTGATGTATTGATCGATTAACTTGCGGGTTCATTCATTTGCCCATTCGTTCATTCTTCATCCATTCACTCTTCAATTTCATCCACTGATTCATTCATTTGTTCATTCATTTATTGGTTAACCAACTTTTTTCGGTGATTTTTTTTTATAAGAACACCTTGAAAAATGGTGATTCAAATTTCATTGTCGGTTTTATTGGGGGGAAAAATTAAAATTCATTGCACGTGGTGATTGCGTTGTTTCTATATTTTTTCATCAATCAATTAAGCTCTTTCTCTCTCTCTCTCTCTCTCTCTCTCTCTCTATATATATATATATATATATATATATATATATATATATACATTCGGTAGAATTTATAGAATATTGTAAAAATTATGGTCTAATTACAATATTCTATAAATTCTACCGAATGTTTGGCGTTTTTTGGTGAACGTTTAGTTTGACTTTGTCACTCTCCATCTAAATTCATTTTGACAAAGTCAATATTTTTCTATATAAACAGCAGAAAGCACTGATGATGATTCATTCGGAATCGAAATATGGCCTTATTTGTAGCATGAATTCGGAAAATAAGTTTATTTTGAATTTTAATAAACTAAACGTTCACCAAAAAACTTTAGTGAGAAAAATTGAAAAAACGAACTACAAACATATTAACGCCAAACATTCGGTAGAATTTATAGAATATTGTAAATATATATATATATATATATATATATATATATATATATATATATATATATATATATATATATATACACGTATGTGTGTGTTAAACAAAGTTAGAAGAATGTGTTAAATAATTAAGAGAAAAGTCTTATTTACAAGGGGACATTTATTCAGTGTTAATAATAAGAATAATAAAAATAGCAATAATAATAAGAAGAATGAATACAATGATGATAAAGGTACGATGGAGATGTTAGCGAAATGTATAAGATAAAAATAATCAAATGATGACCAAATCAACGATGATGACTATATCATGATATTGACATGACTATGTCATGATATTGACATGACTGTATCATGATATTGACGATTTTGACATAATACTAAGTAAGTTAGCCTAAACTATATGGTGCATACATTTAATATGTAAATATATATATACTTATGTATGTCCAAAATATTATTCAATACACATATGTATTTTACACATGAATGTACATGCTTTGGACTAGTGTATAATGATGTATACATTCGTACATGGGTACATACATTCACATATCAATACATAAATATATATATATGTATATACATACATACATACATACAAACAAAAATGCACACATACATGTCACTGTACACACACGTATGATTGTATGCGTGTACGCACGTTGTACAAAATATGCGCATATTATAACTGAATATTATAAAAATGAAAGTTGTAAGAGGATTGAAAAATAAGAGAAAATAGAAATTAATTGAAAGTCAATTTGTTGTGTCAAATAAGTGCAAAGTTTTTGTATGTTGTTGTATTTTTAATCTACAAATACATTGTTTTGTATATGTTTTTGTCCTTGCATGATGTTTTTATGTCTAACGCATGCGTGTTTATCTGTGGCTTAAATTTGTTGTATGAACTTTTTGTATAAAGTTGTGTTTATGTGTTTGTATGAATGTTTGTTTGTACTTCAGTCCGTGTTTGCTCGTCTGTTCGTTTGTTCATCTTCTTGCTTATCTGTTAAGCTTGTCTCAATCTGGCCAGCCTCTGTGTGAGTTCATCCTAAAGAGAGAATTTCAATTGTTAGTAGAATGTGACAGTGCTTATTATATAAGGAAGGTTAAGTAAGCCCCATTCCATTCCAATCAGTTTGGGAGAGGTGGCGTGCAACAATAAGAACAATTCTGCAGTATCACTTGACGAACTTAACAACCAAAATTCATATACATGCGCTGAATTCTACATGATCCCAATAGAAAATTTAAATAATGAATAGAGAAAAAAGACACAGACGAGAAGATACAAGACATTTTATACAAACTTGATACAAGCATGAAACAAATCACACGAGAAATTTGATGCAACAATGACAAACCTGCTCTTGAGATGCCTGGCTAACTGCACCAACTGATGTTGTTTGTGCTTGAGGCAGGTCCATATTCAACTCGATACTGTTTGATGAAGATATTTTTCCAATGTTTCATTTTATATTATTATTTGAGAAATTGAACAGGTAAACTTCCCTAACAACCCCCTCCCTAATTACTAACCCAGCTTCGTCGGCCACTTCCTGCATGAGTGCATCAACTTGACCCTGAGGTGTAGTGAGGGTGGAGGACGCGTTCATCGTGCCCTCCATCACTTGAGACTGCACGTCCAAATTTTCAAATTGCTGCTCAAACCGGTCCATGAGTTGGGATATCTAGGTTGGGTCAGGGTTAGTGGCAGGTTAGTTCATAAGCATGCATGTGTGGATGGGGTCATATTTTAATTAGGTTGGGTAGATGTTTATTTAGAGGTGAATACCTTCTCTAGATTCATGGACTTCATGGCAGACTCCATAGATTTGACAACTCCGGACATGTTGTTTGTTACCTGCATGGCGGTTGCAAGTTGTTCTCTACCAGTAGGTCTTCAAAGACGTCAACAACACTAACCACAAGCAAGCATCAGCAGACATCAACAGCAGCAAGTACATCAATGAAATCTTGTTAACATGTTAACATCAGAAACAAATATAACATTTACAACACTGGCATCTTAAAATGAACAGTGCAAGAAGAAAACCTGTTTTGTAGTGACGGCTGTTTGAACTCTGGAGGCTACGGCATCTACTCGAGCACTCATCCTTCTGTAGTTCAGTGACTGATTCTTCTGCCTAATTGCATTCTCTGCATGAATCCTGGCCCCCTCTGTGTCACCTTTTTGTATGGCCTATTTTCAAGATATTTTATAATTATTATTTATTGTTACAATTACTTATATTATATTCATAACAACTAATTAGATTGCGAAGTAACAATTTTTGAACAAATATGTTTTGTTAGTTTAAAACTTAAATGTCCTTACTTGACCTTTTTTAATTTATTTTTTTCTTCCTTTTCATTTTTTTCACACTTCTTTGCATTTCTTTCTAGGTCTTTGGCTGCAAACTTCAAATTGAATAGGTGCTCTGGTTTTTATCAGTAATAAATAATGTCAAGGTCAGTTAAGGAAAAAGATCAATCAATTTTTTGGCTGCCAATGGAATTAACAAAGCTAATCAAAAACAAACATACAACAACATTAATTAAAATGGATACAAACAAACAAATACAACGATTACGTATTTTTCACAGAATTAAAGATTAGTTAGTGCTAGATTAGTAGATTAGAAAAAGAATTCTTTCAATCCTGTGATCATTTTTTTAAAATTTTATTTATTTAATTTTAAAATTAAATAAAAAGAAAAGAAAAAGATTTTATTTCCATTCAAAATAATTTTTGACGTTTTATTATAAATAGCAAAAAAGATACGTTCCATTTGTTTGAGTGACATCTTGCCGCAATATTTCCGGAAAACAGTAAAAAATGGAGATTTTACAACTTAGAGTTTAAATTAAACAAAGCAAATGAGAATGACTTGTTTTTGTTTACATGAATGTAAGTTAAAAGTAAATTTTTAAATTTTAGTAAATACTTTGACGCTTTATTCAAACTCAACATTCAAATTTGTCGACAGCTTTTTTGAGAAAAATGCAAATGAATTTATAGCAGTTAAATAATAAACTAATAAATGTTTTTAAACACCTGTTCTGTATTAATTTCAATTATTTTTATGAAAGTTTAAAAAACCTTTTTGGTACTTTAACGTTATTGAACGTGCAAGCAAATAAGTTTACTTCTTTAAAACATTTTAACCTAAGAGGTGAGTTGTTGGCGATGTTTTTTCTTTTAATATTTATAAATTAACAAGCTTGATACTATTTTTCATTTTTTTGATTAATTGTCATTTTTTAACTTATTGATAATTGTTTTATAATTGCTATTTCAGATTATGAACTTTATCAACCCTGCATTCTGATTAAAAACTTTAGAAAAGTGTTCAGTCCAGCCAGGTGATTACTTGTTTTTTTAATTTTTTTTAAATTTAAAATTCATAAAAATTACTTAAAATAATAATAAAAATATTAATGATATGTCTCGTAATGTTTTATAAGGCATTTATTGATTCAATTTTTGTTCATGCATTCTTCATCAATGCCAAACCAGTGGGACCAGATGTTGAAAATATCATCATTATTGTATTGATTATTCAAAAGCTGAATAAGAATATCAGTTTGCATTGAATCACTATTTATCTGTTTATTAAATGCTTATTGGTCAATTATTTTAATCAATTATATTACATATTGTACATACATGAAACATTATTAGGAAATGATGATACCTAACAATCCAACATGCATTCAACAACTTAAAAATTTATTTGTAATTCCATCCAGATGTCGCTAGCTAATCCTAATTTTAACTCTGTGGAAGTGAAATCATCCACACACGACAACAGCAGTAGCCATCACCAAACAGCAACCACAACTACTACAATGTCTTCTAGTGATATTGATAACAGCATCAAAAACATTAAAATCAGCAATAGTGGTGCACTGGGAAATGACGATGAACAGTCAGAAATAGCCAATTATTATGCAGGTAAAACTATCTTTATAACAGGAGCCTCTGGTTTCATTGGCAAGCAAGTTTTGGAAAAGTTACTGAGAAGTTGTGGAGGAGTCAAGGCCATTTATGTCTTAATGAGGTCGACAAAAAGGCACACTTCCAGTGAGAGATTGCAGTTAATGCTTAACTCCAAAGTAATTTTTTTCAATGGTTCATCTTTAATTTTTATCTTTTTATTTTTATCTTTTCATGTTTATTTAATGTATTTCTATTTATTTATTTTTATCAATAATTTTATGTTAATTTTTGAAATTATTATTTTTTAAATAGCTGTTTCATAGAATGACAGAGTTAGACGGTGAGCTAGTCAACAAGGTGATTTCCCATTAAACTTATAAATTTTTAAGTACTTGAAATATAAAAATATATTGATAAATTTATAAAAAAACAATCTTTTTATTATAGATAATTATTTTTGTCATAATTGTGAAAAAAAATTAAATTTTAAGGTTTTTGTGTTGGAAGGTGACATATCTAAACCTCATTTGGGCCTGAGGGATGCTGACATTCAGAAAATTATCAGTCAAGTTAATGTGGTATTTCATCTTGCTGCTACTGTTAGCTTTACTGAACCAATGAGGTATTTGTTTGTTCTTTGTGTTCATTCATTGTTCGTTTGTTCGTTCATTCCCTTGTTCATTTGTTCATTCGTTCGTTTGTTCATTTATTCATTCAGCCAATCAGTCTTGTATGTTTATAATTACAAAATTTCATCCTTACTATAATTGCCATGAAAACTTGTTATCATTATTCATTCACTTATCCGTTCATCACTTGTTTTTAATTATCAAATGGAAAATATCAATAATAATAATATAATTAAATTTATAATTAAATTAATAATAAATAGATAAAAAATTGATGTTATGGATCTCCTTTCATATAGGGTAGCAGTGAGTCTCAATATAGTTGGCCTTAGATCGATGCTTGAGTTATGCAAACAAATTCAACATCTTCAGGTTATGCCAATATTAGGAACTCTTCATGTATTAACTTGGCATGAATGACTGTACATGCACACATTCATGCACACGTAGATATATATCGCTACATACGCTTATATTTTTACAACTACCCATTTAAAAATAATGAGCGGACTAAAGTAAACAAATAAACAAACCTACGAACGAACAAACATACACACAAACAAACATACTTACAAACAAACAAACGAAAACCAACAAACATACATACAAACGAACAAACAAACAAACGAACGAAAACCAACAAACATACTTACAAACAAACAGGCCTTAGTGCATGTATCAACTGCATATGCAAACTGTACCCGGAGTCACATCGAGGAAACCATCTATCCTCCTCCCGTCTTTCCTAAAAAAATTCTCCATGTTGCTGAGTTAGTGGTGATGATTAGGAAGGTTTCTTATTTATTTCTTTTTTTGGGAACTCCTTATTTAGTTTTCCATATTGAGGGTCTTTCTTATTTATTTCTTTTACTGGTTTGTTTTTTTTTTATATCTTTCAGTTAGTGTCTGTATTTTCGCAAATAATGCAGTGCTGCTGATTTTTTAGTACTATATTGTATGTTGGGGACGAGGCTGTTACGATTTAAGATTTTTAGATTAATTACAGTAAATATACAATTAAACAATTATTTAATTAACAAATCGTTTTTGAAATTAGATGGATGTCAGACGATGTCTTCCAATTGATCACGCCGATGGTTCTTGAGAAGCACCCAAACACGTACACATTCACCAAATCCATTGCTGAAACCCTTCTCATCCAGGAACGAGGTACTCTCCCTGTGGCCATCTACCGGCCGTCCATAGTCACTGCGTCTTTTCAGGAACCATTTCCTGTCAGGAATTAACTTTGTTTATTTAGGATTTTTTTAATTTAATTTATAATTGTCAGTTGTTCATTTCTGTCGATTCATGTCTTAATGGTGTTTATTTTGCACAAATAATGTGTTAATTGTTATAATGTCTGATGGGTCAAAGATTGAAATATAGATATATACATCTATTTATTTTCATTTTTTAATCTTTGCTAGGGCTGGGTGGATAATTTGAATGGTGCCACTGGGGTGCTTACTGCTGTTAGCTTTTTGGTGTTTTTTTTTTGTTAAATTATTTTTGTTTGTTTTACTGTTGTGTCTGAATGAATAGTATATTGAATAATCTGCCAATTGGTCAATCAATCAGTCAACCAACCAGCTGAAAAACTTATCAGTAAAGTTACTAATGCATCTACCAATCAATCATTCAACCAACCAGCCAACCAACAGATTAACTAGCCAATCATTAACCAACCAATCAATCGATCACACAGGTAGGTAGTGGTTTTTTGAAATCCGTATATGGCATAGGTTCCTTGTCAGCCGATCTCGTGCCGGTTGACCTCGTTGCCAACTCCATCATTGCTGTCGGCTGGAAACTTGCCTCTCAGAAGAAGTTTTTTTTGTTTATTATTCTTCTTCTTATTCTTATTATTGTTCTTATTATTTGCTACTATTACTATCATTCATTTCATCATCATGAACATCGTCTTGTCTTTTTCATCGTCATCATCTCCGATCTTATTTTCTTTATAATCTTCTGTATTATCGTCGTTCTTTTCGTTATTATCATCATTCTCGTCGTCACCACCATCAGTCCATCATCAGAGGTGCCGGTGTACAACTTTACATCTGGAACCAGAAAGCCAATAACATGGAATGAAGTTGGTGAGTGAGTGAGTCAGTCAGTGAGTAAGTGAATGAGTGAGTGAGTGAGTGAGTGAGTGAGTGAGTGAGTGAGTGAGTGAGTGAGTGAGTGAGTGAGTGAGTGAGTGAGTGAGTGAGTGAGTGGATGATGTTTACGTGATAATTATTGAGATGATGATTCATTTCATGAACGTCGTCAGGAATTCATTTGACCGATATATTCAGAAGATTCCCAATGGACAATCCCACATCTATCCCGAAAGCGTTTGTGACCAATAATCGGTTTGTTTGATTGGTTGTTAGTTAGTTAGCTGTTTGTTGATTGGCTGGCTGGTCATTGTTTGGTGTTTGTGATTGATCGGTTGATCAGTTGGCTGATTGGCTGGTTGAATGATTCATTTAGATAATTGGTTTTGTTTGTTGTTTGTTGTCCAAAACATCATCAACGAGTCATCAGCATCTTTCATTCTTTTCAGACTCACTCACGCATACTTCCTTCGCATTGAGATATTCCTGAGGTTGATGGCTCTCGATTTCATTAGGAGACTTTGTGGACATAAACCTAGGTTTACGTTGTTGTTGCTTGTTGTTGTTATTGTTGTTGTTGTTATTGTTGTTGTTGTTGTTGTTATCGTTGTTGTTGTTGTTGTTATCGTTGTTGTTGTTGTTGTCATTGTCGTTGTTGTCGTTTCACCACCATCACCATCATCATCTTCCTTCTCATCATCATCCTCCTCATCAGACTGTTGAGAATCCACGGTAATGTGATTAGACTGATGAACGTGATGGAGTACTTCACATCAAATGAGTGGACATGGTCGACTGATAATGTTGATAAGTTGTACGGGAGTATGAACAGGCGAGATAGGCAGGTCTGTGTCTAGTCATTCATTCATTCATTCGTTCATTTATTTATTCATTCATTTATTCATATATTCACACATGTACTATATTTTTATTTCTGTTTAATCTTGCACACACGCACACACACACACACACACGCACACACGCGTACACAGCTGTTCAACTTTGACCTTCGACGTGTACACTGGCCGACCTACTTGGAATCCTACTGCATCGGCATACGTCAGTACACTCTACACCAGGACCTCAAGAACCTTCCAACCGCCAGGAAGACTCTAAAGTGGTGAGTAGACAGATGATGACGATGGTGACGATGGTGACGATACAACGCTATACAATACAATACAATACAATACAATACAATACAAAAGATACCGTGCAATACTAAACAGGCTGCTGATAGCAAGAAGATTGATGCTGATAACCTCCTTCCTGGCTCTCTTTAGAATTTTTGTTGGCCGGTTTGAGGTGATAAGTAGCATGTGGAGGTTTTTCACAAGCTTCATATACGGTGTCTTCAATAAGATGCCGTGGTTTATCAAGGCCCGTTAACTGCCTGATTGATTGATTGAATGATTGAGTAAGTGAGTGAGTGAGTGAGTGATTGAGTGAGTGAGTGATTGAGTGAGTGAGTGATTGAGTGAGTGAGTGAGTGATTGAGTGAGTGATTGAGTGAGTGAGTGAGTGAGTGAGTGAGTGAGTGAGTGAGTGAGTGAGTGAGTGAGTGAGTGAGTGAGTGAGTGAATGAGTGATTAGTTAACTTGTTGGCTGGTTGATTGATTGTAATTGTATTGCTATTTATATATTATTATAAAAATGATGATGACGTCGACGACGATGTACATGGTGATGATGCTGATGCTGATGAAGGCGACCAAAAAGACGATTTATATATCTAGTTCAGTCTCAATGTGATGCAATTACTTTTAAAAAATGAAGATCATATAAATTTTGGCTGGCATATTTAAACGAACCAATTTCATCCGTGCCTTTTATATATATATATATATATATATATATATATATATATATATATATATATATATAAATAGATAAAACACATTGTATTGCGTGTTTCAACTACTTATATAGTGGTTAAAATATTTCATTGTATTGCTTGTTCAATTGAATGACGCCAAACTGTACGTTGTAAAATATTTTTTGCTAACACATAATAGAATATTTATATAATGATATTGCGATAATATCGCGTGCTAATGTTTTTATTGCAATCTTTGAGGAGACGCATGAACGCCGGCGAGCACACAGTGCATGTATCTACTTATGCTCCTTATAACTCGTGTATTAATGTATGTTAATCACATATAAGTTACACTTTACTAATCATAAATTGTCATAAATTGACTAATAACCGGTGCTGTTATATATATATATATATATATATATATATATATATATACATACATATATATATATAGATAGAGAGAGAGAGAAGGAAAGGTGTTATACTGTATTTTAAAACTTATTTTCATTATTATAAATAAATTTCATCTCGATTGTGCCAATGTTATTGGGCTATGTTTCTATGTTTTTTTGTTATTTTATTATCACGCTATATATATATATATATATATATATATATAATTATGTGATGTGATGTATTTTTGTTTGAAACACTCCTGTATACTCGTATATCCGGTTTTTATTTTGTTTAGTTGGTTGGCTAGCTGGCTGGTTGGCTTGCTAGCTGGCTGGCTGGCTGGTTGGTTAGCTGGCTGGCTGGTTGGTTGGTTGGTTGGTTGGTTAGCTAACTAACTAGCTAGTTGGGTGATTTTACACCATTTTATTTTTATTCTCTATTTTTTTTAGTTAACATCCTTGCTTCAATAGTTCATTCAGTCCGTGAAAGGTAAAAAATCTAAAATTTAGTATTCTATATATATATATATATATATATATATATAATATGTCAACACACATAATGTATATATCAATAATTTATGCAAGTTTTGATTTGTTCCCGTTCGTACATGTTTGTTCTCCCGGTTCACTCTTTCGTTTACATTTGTTCATTCAGTTTATTATTTTTCAAAAATATAATATTAATTTTGTTCCATATTGGATTTTAATTACTTCTTTGTTATTGCTATGTCGTTATCATTTCATTTATATCTAAACTAAGTTTGAATAAATAAATTAAATTAATAAACTATTATTACTGCTACTGCTAGCTGATGAATGACGGTAATTACCATATTACATGAATCCATTAGCTTATATATAATGATTAAACTCTGTCATTTCGTTGATTTTAAAAAATTTAAATTAAATAGATATACTGTAAAAAATACGTTTAAAAAAATGTCGTTTTATTTCAAAAATCAATACTAAAAGATTGAACAAAACACGAGAAGAAACAACGTAACGTAATATATATAACATTATGTAGTCAAATATAAGAATGGATACGTGTGATCGCCTAAGTCATTCCATAAACATAAAACGTTATTAAATAAAATAAAAATATCATTAATTAATAGAATAATTAATCAATTAATCAGCCAATCAATCAATCGATCTACCAGATAAATATACGAGTCAGTAAAGCTCTGGCAAGGTTTGTGTATGGATATAGAAAAGTATGTA